GCTGTACCTCACTAGCCAGCTCACTCTCAATGAGGCAACAAAAGATTCTAGAATCTCCCAAATGCAGTGACCACAAGCAAACAGTGACCCCTCCCAGCCTCCTACCCTTTAGACCTCCTCTCTTGCTTATGGGAGTCTGTGTGCCAAGAAGGGGGCCATATGTTGCCCATGATGATCTGGTGAAAGGAGCTTCCCTCCAGTGCTCCACACTATCAGGGCACCATGCTGGCCACACCCTTGTCCCTACTGGAGACCAGGCTATCTCAGGGCTTCAGCTGTCCTGATTCTGGTGTCCTGCCGACAGCACCCCACTGGCCACTCCCTGAAAAGAACTGGCACACACAGGACAGAGACAAGCCTGGGCTTCTGGCATCTCCCCACTGAGGATGGACCCACGACACAGGTAACACTCAGGAAATGCCTGAAATATGCTAACTCCGTACAGCAGACTACTACTGTTTAGATGCTATCCATGAAGGACTAGTCTCCCAGGGGCCATGGAACTGATGACCGACTGGCTGCGGACTATTTATGACTATTTATTGGCCACCCAGGCAGGCGACTATTTCTAGAAGGGTTTTGTTGTGTGTGGTAGAGAACCCTGGCATACATAACTCAGCAATGAGGCAGGACATTAAACCAGTCAATAATGGCGCTGAAATCTGAGAACAGAGCCCGGACTGCTGACACACTTTCCTGTCTCTCTCCAAAACCCTGGGAGGAGCGGACTCCAATGCCTGCTGGTCTTCATTGAAATATGTCCTTTGGGCATTTGGCTTTTAAAATTCACACTTCATACAAATTCAACTTTGATTAAAGAGATGAGGTACCATCAGGCTTCGAGCATACATCAGGATGAACTCTAATGAAGAGGCTGGCTCCATTTGTGATGTGATCTGTGGTTTGACTGAGAGCAGCTCTCTGAGCACCACCCTCTTCCCTGCCTGGACCACTTCAGGCAAACTGGTAAGAGTCCCACAAGTGCCACATGTCCCGTGATCTGGTGGGTGGAAGGGGAAGCCTCACACATCCCCAGCTGCAACAGAATCTCCACCCACTCTCCCTCTAAGCTCCCACAAAAGTTCATACCTGCCTCCATCTCCCCAGATTCCCAACCATTTTTTTAGCGTCATGGTGCATGTGGCATTGTCTGGACAGCCAAACCCACTTTGGGTGCAGGTCTGGGATGGATCCAACCCCAAAAGGACAACATAAAACAGAGGGGCACACGTGGAACATACCTTTGGGGGAGGACCAAAGGTCCAGTGTGGGAACTTTTGAGAGGATAAACCTAAGACATCAAATGCCTAAGACATCCAATAATGTAGTTGGAAACACCTGTCATAATAAAAACCATGATGCCACCCATGTGACCACTAGTAGAAGAATCAACAAATGGAAATGGTATAGTCCCATCAGGGAAGAGTGCAAAGCAACAAAAGTTACCTACCATTCCATGGGATAAAACAAAACTGTGAACAGAAGACACCCGACACTCAGTGGGACACACAGTATGATGCCATGTGCACACAAAAGAAAATGTGCAAAAATAAAATACACTGACTTAAGAGTGTGCGCACTCTTAAGGGCAAAAGTAGGTATACAGTTGTGAGTACACAAAACAGAATTTATTCTTGTGTTATTATTTATTTATATTTTTCCATATGTAAACTATAAACCTACATTTGCCCACCCCTGCATAATTCACCTGGAAAGGAGGCCTGTCTGTAAAAGTCATTTCTAGCGGGGTGTCTAGTGTGAGGGTTTCATCCATTTCTTGGCCTGCCTGTCCTTACACGGATGTTTACTTCAGGTTGTATAGTTGGCTGGGCAGTTGCTTGCACATTTTCTATATACACTGCATTTTATAGTTAGATACTATGAAGTCAGTTATATTTTATCACAATACCACCTTAAAAGAACAATGTGACAACATCTGAATAAAGAAAAAGATGTATCCTAGTCCACAGTGCACCTGCAGGAGAACCTTTAGCAGTTTAGGAATGGGTTGGACCCTGCAGAGCCGGAGGAGGGACTCACTGAGGGAAAAAAAGTTCATTAAGGAACATACAAATGATGAAAAGAAAGGCCTTCCCCCCCCAAATTAGGTAAAACAAGGAGGCCCCTTGCCTCCTCTAAGAGATCCTATCCAGGTCCAATAAACAAAAATACATAAGAATTATAGCAGAAGTAAAGAGTTGCCTATAATCCTAGCTCAAAGTATTATTGTGGAAGATCTACAAAGAATAAGATAAGCACAGAATACTCTATTAGTGGCTTTCCAGGATGCAAACACAACAGAGAAGGAAATCTCGGTTCTCTGTGAGTCACTAGCAACCAAAGTTAAAAGGAATATTTAAAAACATTCTAGACTATTAAAACTAAATTTACTGATAAATTTTCATTTATTACAAATTTTCTTAAATTCTAAAGTTATGTCTGTGAGATAATACACACCCACCTTTCTCTGATTCCTGATACCCCTGTATCAGGGCCCATCAGAGTGATGGGTAATCCTAAATGGTAAGAGCACCTAAATGATAGGAGCATCTTTTTCTAATGACGTAACTCTGGGTGGCTCCTGAAAGGGGGCTGTCACCAGAAAGCCCCAGCCAACACTAGAATGTTGGAATGTTCAGATATAATCATACACTCTAGGGAGAGGAGAGGGGCTGGAAATAGAGTTTACAATTGATCATGCCTATGTCAGGAGGAACGCAGAAGTCCCAATAGCACCAGCTCCAGAGAGCTTCCATTTGGGGGAGCACATCCACATGGGGACAGTGACACACCCCAATTCCACAGGGACAGTAGCTCCTGCACTCAGGTCCCTCCCAGACCTCACGCTATGCCTCTTTTCATCTGGATGTTCATCTGTATCCTTTATCATGTCCTGTAATAAACTGGCAAACATAAGTCAGTGTTTCCTTGAGCCACTCAAACAAATTAACAAATTAAACCCAGAGAAGGGGTCATGAGAACCTTGACTTGGGGCCAAGTCCACAGAAGCTGCAGGTAACCTGGGGACCTACTACTTGTAATTGGCATCTGAATTAAAGGGTAGTCTTGTGGGTGAGCTCTTAGCCTCCAGGTAGATGCTCCAGATAGATGGTGTCAAAACTGAGTTAAATTGTAGGACATCTGGTTGGTGCCACAGATTGCTTGTTGTGCAGAAATGCTCCTTTACCTGGTGACCAAGAGTGTCAAAAGTGAAGTGTTCTGTGTGAAAGTAAAGGAGAAAGACAAAGGAAGAGAACTGGAGGCTTTCCCAATAAAATGTCTAATGAAGAATATAAAGTGATCATAATGAAAAATTATAAAATGTACCCAATGACATCAAAAGGACAAAGAAAGAAATGGAAAGATGGTGTGTGTTCTCTGAATGGAAACTTAATGCCACCATGATAGCAACTCTCCCCAACAGATGTAAAGTTTTAATAAACTTCCATTAAATCCAAAACCTAGTGGGGGGGTTTTGTTTTTTAATTTATAAAAAACCGGTTGTTAAAACTAAAATGACAGGCCAATGTCTAAGGAACCATGTTTCTACAGAACAAGGTAGGACTTTCCCAGAAACACATGAAGGTATTTAAGTTACAACAATAACTGGGACAACACAATACAACAAAAAAGAGGACATTTTCTGTACTGAGACAATTTCCCCAGGTGGCATCTCTGGTTCAGCCCCACAATAATGGAAGTCAACAAGACAAACACCTGAGACCCTTACTACCCTCACTAAGGAGAAGAAACGAAGCATCTGCTGGAACCTGAGGCTGAAGAAAGGAAAGCTCAGGGCTGAGCTGGACAGAGGCTGTTCACAAGTGTCAGGTGACAATGCCAAATCCTCCCTAAGACCTGTGCGGCTGGTAATATCCATGGAAGGTGTAAGGAAGCACTACCCTGAGCCTCACCCATTTGTTCTGGAAAAGGGCATGCTGCAAGAACCCCTTCCTCTCGTTTATCCAGGACAAGGCTGGCCACAGCAACCCTTCTCCTGTGCCTCATCACTGATTAACTGAACTGCTCATCCCTACTGACCAAGCAAAGCAAATGCTTGTTGGCCAGACTTTGGTTCAGCTTCTCTCCTTCCCTGAGACCCCTGCATTTTCTTCTGTCCTCAGCCTGAGCCAGCACACAGCACTCCTGAGAACAGACTGGCCTCAGGGAACTGACATCCCAACCACATCTGGTCTTTCCTGCATTTGTTGACTCCACTCTAAAGAATAAAAGGAAAAAGAAAAACCATTTAGTCCAACTCTTGAGACGCCTGAAGGTGGTATGGTCAAAGCACTCACCCTACTGCACAGCCCCTGCCCCGAGTGCAGAGTCGCTTCTTCCCACCCCTTGCAATAAATCTTTGGAAAGCCCCTCCTTAGGAAATTTGTATTCTTCATTTTTTACAGGCTTCACCAAACGATCACAGTTGCCCATTTCCTACCCAAACTTTATACAGGCTCCTGTTCTCCCCACAGATCCAGACACTGCCCCCCACACCACACCATCCCCCGCATCTGGACAAACACCGAGATGGAGACAAGGTCCTGCTGATCTGGGCCGAGAACGCGCTGACCACAGGGAGAGTGGTTCCTGTCACAACGGCTTCCTGCTCACCCTGCTTCCACTGGAAAGAAAAGCCCTTTTCTGTCGTATTTGAGAGAGGGCGCCGCTCTGAGATCCGAGCATTGTTCCCTACTGCAACAAGCTTTGTCATAAAGCCGCCTTAACCCTGTCGGGATCGAGTCCCCTTACCCCGCGTGCAACCCCCACTCAGCTCCCAACCCCCCGACCGCCGGCAACAGTGCATGTCCCGCTCTCCCTCCCTCGATCTGCCGGGCCAAGGACTCGGGTCGGAACACCGTGCGGCTGGAGGAGGCCGCCACCCCCACCTCCCCGTCGCTCAAAGCCAGTTCAGGGAGATTCGTATCAACACCCTCCGCCCCTACATTTTCCTCACCAACCCCCCTTCCCCAAACTACCACCAGCGCCCTAAAACTGACCATTAGGATCCGGTACGGTCCCGAGGTCCTCCCGGCTGGCTCCGCGGCACCTGCACCACAAAAGCCCGAGAGAGCTGTTCACGCAGCTGCGAGCCCGCCCGCCCACGGCCTGGATTGGCCGGTTATACAGACAATTCACCCTAAATGGACGGTGACCCAGGCATTCCTCCTTCGGGGAACGCTGATTGGGCGATGATACCAGCGTCTCTCCAATAAACAACTCTCCGGACCGCCCCGGCCAAGTTGTTATCCGTGGCCCCGACCCTGGGGTCTCCTTGACCGGTGTTACAGACCTGTGTCAGGAGGGGCGAAGGTCACTAACACAGCCTGAGGGAAATGTCGGTTTTCTGCCCCGGCCCTACCCTGCAAGACTTCCACCACCCTACTACACTGGAATCTGAGCTAAAAGAGCTCACCTGGCTGCTGCGCTCCATCTGTAATGGGAAGTACTGACGCAGTTTTCCTGCGTGGCGTCCCGTTAGGATGAAAGCGGAAAAGCCAGCGTTGGTGCTCCGTGTCACTATCAGAAGCAATAAGTGGGAACAAAGATTGAGTCTTTATGGGCACTTTATTCAGAAGGTCAGCAATCTGAGAAGATGGCTGGTTATATACCCTAAAAGACGGTCCTACATTTCATCTCAAGCTGACCTTTTTAATAAGGAGAAGAAAGTGTAGATAAGGGGTTTGAAATTCAGGGAAAAGGTTAATCAGATAAAAGCTAGTATGGCAATTTTCCTAGCACCCTTTCATCTGATGCCCCGTGATTCTTTATCTGTGTCCTGGGCAAGGACGCCTCTCCCTGGAGCACAATGGCTCAGATACCATCTTGATTGCTTGCAGTTCTCCTGGGGCACAAAGGTCGAATTGCTTGTGGTGTCCTGGAGTCAGAGTGAGTCATGCCTTCAGTTTCTGGAACAATAGCTTTTTACATGAATTCATTACTAAGCTTATTAACTATAACTTAAAACTAAAATTTTCCAACTGTTGAGTTCTCCCATTATGCCCCCACTGTTAGTCTAAACTATCTTATTTCTCTGAGATCAGTTTAATAGGAAAATTATCATTTTGCTGTTGAGCATGCATCTTAACATTAGTAAATCTAGTATGGGGTTTAGGGATACACTCAATTGCAGATCCACATAAGGGGGCACACTGTATGCAACAATAAGCTATGATACTGAAAAAGATGAAAAGAATGAAAACAACAGATGCCTCTCTAAGACCAGTAATACTAGGCAGCCAGGAGGTGAGTTTAGACAGATCAATACCAAGTAACCCCTTTCTTTGTTTTATCTTGGACACAACTTTATTTACTTTATGTTCTATGAGCTGTGAATTCTCAGTCAGGTTGAAACAACAGTGTCTTTTACTTTCAATTGTTCATATCCATGATTGTGTCTTAAAAGGAGGTAGTCTATAGCTACAAGGTTTTCTAATACTGCTTCTCTGACTTGTGCTAGTTCTTGACTGATTGCACTAATGGCTTGAGAGGTGGCATTTAAAGCTTTTGCCGTAGAACAGACTAACCTACTTATTTCTATATTCAAAGAGGTTACCATAGCTGGCATTACAATACAGTCAAAGACATATACTCAGCAGAGCTAAAAAGGTGCAAATTACTGTTACAATCAGATGCAAGGGAGAGTTCCCGCCAAGCCCACGTGACGTGGGCTTCTGAGCCACAAACACTGTCAATCTTCCCAGAGAGCATGGTCCCCCAGAACTATTTGCTGGAACATAGGAATAAACAGTCCTTCTACATGTTAGAAACCATCCTGCAGGCAATTTGATGTGGCCGAAGGCTTAAGATACATTAATGGCAGTGTTGCAATTCATCTCCACGTCTGCTGAAAGTATAAAACAGTTTCTAGTACAGTTAACAAAAGTTGCACCTTCTCCAGCTGGGGGCTACATTAGTGATTTTTAAGGAAAACACTTCCCTGTCCTTTAGGGTTACCAACAGGTCCCCAATTATAATATCATAGTAGGTTGTATTCTTATTGATATGCTGGAACAAAGTATAATTTCTAAGGCTGTACAGGGGAATACAAACACCTATAAGGCATAAAGTGAAAACAGAAGAAAAAAAAGACATGAAATGAAAGTTTGTCCAACATAGGGTCCTTCTGCAAGACAAAAGAGATATTTAGAACATTTTCGCTAAATATATCCAAATATTTTCATCTGATTTGAAAGGAAAAAAGTTCTCCATAATATCAGGTTAAAGAAAAAACTGATGAAAGCATGTCATTGTTTTCAAAAGATGACTTTCAGGTCTTCTTCTGGTTTGGTGGTCCATCGTTCCTCCAGTGCTTTCTTTACTCCGGTGTGATGAATCCAAAGTTTTATTCCTGCCCACTTAACCGTGATGGGGAAGGGGAGCCTGTCCTAAGGTCTTTTTTTCTTTTAGCTAGCTCTCTGGAGAGCCAGTCTTCCAAGTCTTGAGTAGCACTTTATCTCCAGGCTCAAAGGAATGTAGGGAACCTGTGGGAGAGAGGTCTCAAATACAAGCAGGTCATTAATTACAGCCAAGGTCTGACTGAAAATGTTGTACATATTTCTTTACTTTAACTTCTTGATCTATATACATATCTCCCACACCAATCGTAGCCTGAAATGGTCGTCCGCACACAATTTGATAAGGACTCAACCGAACCCCACTTTGAAGAGCCACCCATATCCTGAGCAGGGCAATAGGTGAACTTGATCCCAGCGGAGGTGCTCTTCTCCACACGGCTTGGCTATGTTTTTCTTCAAGGTGTGATTCATCTTCTCTGCCTTCCCAGAAGCCTGAGGTCTCCATGTCACGTGGAGTCTCCATTTGATTCCTAAAAATTTACTAATGTGCGTAATTTCTGAAACAAAAGCAGGTCCATTATCGTTCTGGATGCTGTCAGGTAGGTCAAAGTGAGGGATTATTTCCTTCAGTAAGGCTTTCACTGCCTCTGAGGAGCTCTCTGTTCTGGTAGGATAGGCTTCTACCCATCCTTAAAAGGTGTCAACAAAGACTACCAACTCTGATGTTAGGCAAGAGGCGTTCCTGCAGCAGTGCTTCATCTTCAGGGAGATTCATGGAGGCTTTGACAGCACAGGCTTCTGATAACTAAGTCAATTTGCCTTCGTGTGGGAGGGGCAGTCATACCTTTCAGGTGATTCCCTAGGGCTCTCTGCACAGCCCAGTGTGGCCTTGGGTGGTGGCCCCAAGCCTGTTCTGATCTTGCCCACATCACTATGATGGGCCCATAACACGGAAGAGGTCATATTAATACCCAAAGACAGGCCTCTGCTGCAGGCTACTACATGCTCTGCTAAAACATCTGGGAAGGAGCAGGGCTGTGAACCCACAGACAACTCAGGGCCCAGGCACCACCCCGAGGTTTGGGTGTCCTTGGTCAGGTGAGAAGGGTCTGGCCCCAGGAGATCTGTTTTACAAGGCGCAGCCTATCTCGTCCCTGAAAAGGTGGAAGAGGTGCAAGCCTTTAGAGATTTGGAACTTAGGAGGACTTTCATTCCCCACCTGGCACAGTGCCTCTGTCCTTTATGCCACTTGGTGAAAAAAGAGCACACATGGAGCCAGGCATCAGAGTAGCAAGCCACCTTTGAGAAGAAAAGCAGTAAAACAACACTGGTGGAGCTGATGAAAGCTCAGGGCACCTTGCAAGCAGGGCTACCACTCCACTCATCTGTGACTCCAGAAGGTATGGGCCACGCACTATGGCAGAGACACAGGAGACAGTACCCCTGGATGTGTCCCGGCTCTGGAGGAGACAGAAACCTGACATATGCCCACAAAGAAAGAGCTCCGAGTAGTAGCCCCAGTGCTCCTCCAGGAGGGGCCTCTCACCAAGGAATGAACCCCAGAATTCACTGGGCAGAAGGCAGAGCTGTCTGGTGATTCAAGAGCTCTGGAAACTCACCCTTTGCACCCTTTGTGCCACTTTGGAGGGATCAATCCAGTGGTTTGCACCACAGGAGGCTGAAAGGTGGATGATCATGAGTGTGACTTGTGGGGTCAGGATGTTTGGGGACACATTGGGGTTCACCTGTAAGATCCTGAGGTGACCTCATTCTCTTCCAAGTCCAGGTTCATAAGGCACTCATGCTCCATGGCCATCAGGAAGCAGATGCCCTGGCCTGGGTTTGAGCCCCAGCAGACAAGCCTTCAGTAGATACTGAAGATTGGGTCATAAAAAGGGTGGCCACGGAGGTGCCCAGGTAGGATGGCATATCCCCACGATGGCAACTGCCTGAGAACTACAGCGACTTGACTAATGCAGTAACACCATTTACTGTGTGTCTGTAACAACACCCTAGGCCAGCGATGTTTAACCGGTGTACCACAAGAAGCACAGTGGTGGGCTCCAAAAATTTTTAAAACATGCAATACCTGACAATTTAGCCAGGGGCACTGACCTCTTTTCCCTTAAATTGTCAAATAAAAAAATGACAACCACCAACACAATAGCCATCTGATGTGAGTGAAGCAAAATCATTCCTACTTTTTGTCAGATCAGCAAAAATATATTTTTTGGCATGCCATAGACTTTTAGTAATTAGTTTATGTATGCCGTGAGATGAAAATGGTTGATAATCTCTACCTTAGACAACTGCCAAAGCAGTCTTGGTGCAAGAACCAGTGTTCCCAGCTGGTGAGGGGTAGGCAAATAAACATATTTGGCACCCCCCCCACCCTGCAAGTGAGGGTTCGAAGTATGCCTGGGTTTGTGTGGACGCTGCATCTGGTCCAACCCACACTTTCCTCTGTAGCTGCACACACCAGAATGCCACCATTAGGGGGTTGGAGAAGCTGAACACCATGTGTAAATACCCCTGTTAAATAGATAGTGACTAGGGGTCACATTTCAAAGGTGTTGACATACAAGACTAGGAAAAGAACATGGCAACGAATGGAGGTTCCATTCTGTAATTCCCAAGCAGTCCGGGTCCACTAAAGTACTGTCCTAGATTTAATACATCTGAGCGATCGCCACTACCTGCAGTGACCTGATGGATACCGAAGAGCTACAGTGTGAACCTGAAAACCAGAGGATCCATGACAGGGGACCCTAGGAAACAGTCTATGGAATCTTCTGCCTGAGAGTGAACTAATGTCAAATGTGTTTGGTTGGGGCTGTTCCAGATGGGCAGGGCAAGAAGTCTGAAGAATGTGCTGTATCTAAGGTGCACTAGGTTCCCACATCTCTGTCTGCTGACGGCACAGAACATCTGAGAGATGGCCTCTTCACTTCTGCCTCACGCATCTTCCTCTTCTTGTGACCTTTAGCCCAGAACCATAAACAGGACAATGGGATATGGTTTCCTACTTCACCCAAGCTCACCACACAATTCAGTGGAACCATCTGGATGCCAGCTTTTATCTTCATGCCACAAGTTCTCTTTTTAACTCAATGTATTGATTCCAATTTCCAACCAAGATCAAAGACAATGAACAGAGGTCATATTATGAACATAAGCAGACAGGACTGTTCTCTTCCAAGATCTTCCCATGATTACTAATTTCTGTGAGGAACACAAGGCTGGCATCCACTAGCAACCAATGTAGAATATTTGTCTTTTAGTATTGTACTAAAGACTGAAGGGGAGCATAGAGACTGAGTCAGAAAACTCCAGTATCTGCAGCAATGAACCAGAAATTTCAACAATACAGAACCCATATCGTGATCACATGCTAGGAACATAATGGAAAGTGACTATCAAAAAAACTTTTTATCTAAAATATATCAAGTTACAAATGAAAAAGGAAAAGGAAAAGAAAAAAACCACTTATCACCTCTGAGTCAAAAGACATAATGGAATTGAGACAAGTTTTATATAACTGTTCAATTAAAGTCAAACATAGCAAAATGTATGCAGTACAGATGAAGGGGACATAGAGGAGTAATTATATCTTAAGTGAACATATCAGTAACATGAACTAGAAATTAACACACAGGGATCCCTCTCCAGGGTGAGGCACTTTTAAGGAAAACCATACTTGTAACAAAAAATTTCTATACTGCCCTGAGTTTTCACGCACATCAGTGAAGATCTAAAACTTTCCCACCTACTTTCCACTCGGTTTCTCTCGTGTGTCCTCAAAGTTTTAAGGAAAAATAAATACAGTCCCTGTATTCAGAGTTTCTATCCAGCATGTGTCCTCCCGTGTCTTCGCAAGGATGTGTAATGCCTGAAGGCTTCACCACATTTCTGACATTCATAGGGTTTCTCCCCAGTGTGCATTCGCGCGTGTCTTTGCAGGGATGAAGGACACCTGAACGCTTTCCCACACTCCATACATTCATAGGGCTTCTCTTCACTGTGAGTTCTCACATGCTCACGAAGGGATGAGGAATAATCAAAGGCTTTCCCACATTCTGCACATTCATAGCGTTTCCTTCCACTGTGTGTTTTCACGTGTTTTCTAAAGTATTTGGGACAACGGAAACTCCTCCCACATTCCTTACACTCATAGGGTTTCTCCCCAGTGTGTGTCCTCACATGTGATTGCAGGGAGGACAGGTGCCGGAAGGCTTTGCCACACTGCTGACATTCGTAAGGTCTATCTCCAGTGTGCGTCCTCATGTGTTCTCGAAGGTAGGAGTAAAATCGGAATGCTTTTCCACAGTGCTCACATTCATAGGGTTTCTCCCCAGTGTGCATTCTCACGTGTTCTCGTAGGTAGGAGTTACAGCTGAAGCCTTTCCCACATTCCTTACACTCATAGGGCTTCTCTCCAGTGTGAGTTCTTACATGTCGTCTAAGGTGGCACCCAAACATAAAGGCTTTCCCACACACTTTACACATGTGGATTTTCTGTTCACACTGACCTCTCAAATGTCCTTGAAAGGAGGAGGGGCAAGCGAAAGCTTTTCCACATTTCTGACACTCAATGGAGCTTTTATTATTGAGACTCTGCGCGTATCCCTCAGGTGCTCTCCCAGTCTCCTGACAGTGACAGGGTTTCTCCACACAGTCTGGTCCCACGTGAGGGCTTGGACATGAGACACACCTGCAGGCTTGTCCACATTCCTCACATGGATGAGGTTCGTGTCCAGTGGGAGGTCTTGGTGGATTCCTGCAGGCTTTTCCACACTTAGCGCACTCATGGGGTTTAACTCCGGGTGGATGTCTCTCCCCCACAGGAAGATCTGTGATGTGGTTCAGGGTGTCTCCGCATGGATTAGCTTCATTACTCTCACAGGGAGTCTCCAGCACGTGACTTCTATTCAAAGGAAATAGCACATTATTAGGGATATAATTATAAGGAACTTCTCTATTCATAATTTATAGATGGCTATTATTACTGTGAGTATATATTTACCATTTTCAACAAATATGTACACTTTCTGTGCCATTTGCACTGTTACAACATGGAGCGAGCTTAAGGCTCTGGCTGAGCTCAAACAGAGCCGTAACAATAGTTCAATGTTTCTTACATCTGGGGTTTCCTGATCGTTGTTTCCAACTGAATTCTGAGTAGATACTCAATAACTACATCACATTTATGAAAACATCGTCTGGCGATCATTCTCTAAGTACACAATTGTTCAGCTAGGTTTATGCTTCTTCTTTAATTTCAAGTTAGTCTAACACTCTGCCAAGAGCCCCTCCTCCTGTGGGAGCGCCACTCACCTCAGACGCCTCCCCTGGGTTTGGTGCTGATCTCCAAAGTCATGAACTGTCCAATGTTCTCCAAAAACAGTCCAGGAATCATTTCTTGTGAATCTTACTATATTGTCTTCACTGGATATTTCAGTCTCCAAGTTTTCCCACCAAGGGCTTGATCCACTGGTTTTGACTTGAACGCAACAAGCTACAACAACGGATAGCACATAGGCATATCACAGTGTAGTATGCTTCACTTGATTGTGCTATGCAGGTACTGCCTTTTCTACAAATTGAAGGTAAGACCCTCTACCAGCAAAAAGACTGTGACTTGCTGAGGGCTTGGATAATGGTTAGCCTTTGGTAGCGATAAAGTATTTTTAACTGAGGCATGTAGGTTTTTTTAAGACACAATGCCACTGCACATGTAATAGACTATAGTATAGTATAAATTTAACTTTTATATACACTGTGAAACCAAAATATTTGTGTGACTCATTTTATTGTGATACTGGCTTTCTTGAAGTGGTCTGAAACCAAACCCACAATATCTCTGAAGCCTGTAATTTAATTTCTTAGGGGAAAAAGAAAATAGACCCCATGGAAACTTATTTTCATGTACTGATCCCAAAATGTGTAAACAAATTCTATAAGGAAGAATGGATATGTAAGTAAAGAAATAATCTGAGACCTCAGCTATTTGAGACTTTGGCAATATTAGGGAAAATGAGTCAAAATGGCAACTTGTTTACTACAAAATACTTCAAAAGAAATGGAAACTGATTTTTTTTTTTTTTAAATCCTCACTTGAAGATATTTCTTTATTGATTTTAAAGAGAGAGAAGGGAGAGGGGAAGAGAAACATTGATGTGACAGAGAAACATCCATTGGTTGACTCCCATGTGCACCCCAATCAGGGATTTAACCCACAACCTAGGTGTGTGCCCTGACCTGGAATCAAACCTGCAACCTTCTGGTGTGTGGGACAACGCTCCAACCAACTGGGCCACCTGGCCAGGGCCATGGAGACTGAGTGTGATGTAAATATTATCACAGAAGCAAAACTGAAAGGAAATGGGCAAAATGCACATGCGCAAATGATCCCCTTACAAGAGGAGATACGAAAAGTCTTCCCAAGTGAGTGAGGATGGATGAAAAGTCCAACAGGGATGCCAGGTAAATCACAAATGTCATCCTTTTCAAACACAGACTGAGTTGTGTTCCTAGCAGATATGTCCAAATATCAATCCCTTGTCTAGAGCTTGTGCCTCCCGAGGATCGTTGCTCTCCTGGTGGTCACAGGCACCAAGGCACTAGAAGAAGCCTTTCTCACAGTCCCGGTGCCGCTGGGAGATCAGAGGGTGTGTGTCTGCTGCCCTGCTCCTGAAGAAAAGCTCATCATCACAAGTGAGGATGGAGGGCAACAAACATTCCATGAGATGGGCCAATACCCTCATTTGCAAGGCTTCTTGATGATGGGTAAGTATGGGTTTATTCTGCAGCAAGATTACCATTCAAACATGCCCTAACCAAAGTGTAACGTTCTCAGGGTTGAAAACCATAAGGCTGCTCCTATTGCCCCATAACGAACTGGAGAAACTATGGTCATACTTATAAAATTAAAAAACCTCAGACTTTTATTCAAAATAAATGAAAAGTCAATTTAATACATGAAACTTTATCATGGAAAAGCCATCTGACTCTAGGTGAGGTCCATGAAGCCTTGAACTGTGTCTGTTCTTCTTTCAACATATTTTCATTTCTTGACTCCAATAAGAAATAAGAATTATAAGAAATATGTCTTCCTTAAAATCTAAGTGAAGGGAAGATCCTTACCCAAAGAGGCCAGGTTCCTGCAGGTCTCCAGCATCACTTCTCTGTAGAGCTTCCTCTGAGCAGCATCCAGCAAAGCCCACTCTTCCTGAGTGAAGTTCACAGCCACATCCGCAAAGACCACTGAGTTCTGAAACATCCCACACATTCTATTTCAACAAGGCACCACTTCGCCAACATGTGCAGGAAAATGGGGCAGGCTGTCAGTCAGGAACCCAGACTCAATTCCTAGGACCTCACACTCTTATGGGAAATGACGATAAACAAGCAAACCCAAAGCAGTACATGCAGTAATGGTAAGTGCTTGGAACCTTGAAGCAAAGTTCAACAACAACTGATATAAATTTCTATCAACATAATTAAAAAAGAATGATTTCAAATGAGAGATTCTGTGGTAAGCTAAAGACTGAAAAATAAAACTGTCATTCAGATAACATGGAAATGGGTACTTGACTTGCTCACAAGTTACTTCCTTGTGAACTTCAAGACTTGAAACCAGCATGTCAGCATGTCACAAACACTGAGATGTCTAGTGCTGCTTGCTCTTCACAGTTCCCGCCTCGGGTGTCAACAGCATCCAGGAGCCCAATCTAGTCCTCTCATATCTGACAAAGATAGAGACACAACCCCTTCCAAGATGAGGTGGACCCTGTGGTCATTGACATAAGCCAGGGCCCAGGGCCTGGCACACCTGTTGGGTAAGAGGAGGGCCAGGTTCCTCTGACAGGCCAGCAGAGCCTCTCAGGTAGACAACGGAGTGCCTGAATTTAAGGAAAATGGCCACTCCAAGAACAATCCTGGAGGGATCTGAAGGTAAGAGAGCCATGTGCACTTTAAAGGAGAGAAAATAACAAATAACCTAATTACTATCTTTAAAGCAGTGTCAAATGACACTGAATTCATGAAAAAAGAGCCAGCAATTATAAAAAGAATCAGAGATTATTGAAAATAAAAATATATCCTAAAAATTTAAAGAAAAAAAATCCCAAAACATCAATTACAAGAAAAACAATGCCACCTCAGCTGGGGTTGCAACTAGGCTTTGCTAATGACACACCTGATACGAGCCTTCTATTCTAAATATATTTACAAAAACTCATATGAGAATAAAAAATAAAAAAATAACAATATAAGACAAATAATACAACAAATAATGGGCAAAAAATGTGAGTAGACATCTTTTCAAATAAGAAATACAAATGGCCTATCAGCACATGAAAGGCGCTAGACCTTAGTCATCAGGAAAATCCAATCAAAACTAAAGCAGACAGCTGCTCACCCTCTAGGATGGCTGTGAGGACAGACAGACAAGTGCTGGCAAGAATATGAGGAACCCTCCCACACAGCCTATGGGAAGTAAAGTGTTAAAGCCACTTTGGAAGACAGCCTGGAGGGCCCTTAAAGTAATGAGCATGGTTATCACAAACACAGCAATTCCACTTACAGGTGTTTACATGCTCAGGAGAACTGAACAAACATCAACACAAAAACTACTACACAGATATTCATAGCAGCATGATTCATAATAGCCAAAAAGTGGAAACAACTCTGAAGTCCATGAAGTGACTAGGATAAGCAAAATGTGGGATTATTTACACAATGGAATATATTTGCCAATAAGAGGAATGAAGTTCTGGTTCACGGCACAAAATCAATATCCTATAAATACATTATTACCAGACAGACATCACAAAGACCACAGATAGTGCTGTGTCATGTACGGAAGCCAATCTATAGAGACAGAAAATAGATGAAGCACTGCTGGTGGTAGGGGGGACGAAATGGATGCAGAGTGACGACCCGTTGATACATGGTTTCTTTTTAGGGTGATAAAAATGTTTCAAATGAGAATATGGGGATGGTGGTACAATTCTGTAAATGAACGAAATACAGTTACGTTAAACAGGTAGACTTTATGGTATTTAAATTATATCTCAATTGATGCTGCTGAAAAATAGGTTTGACAAGCTAAAAATATATTCTTCTTAAATTAATGGCAATTTTATTCAAGAAGAATAAAACCCAGGAATACCAAGAAACGTGTGAAAAGAAGCAATTCAATTCTAATAACATTAAGAGTTCATTCACCAGGCCTGACTGGTGTGGCTCAGTTGGTTGGGCATCATCCTGCAAAGGGAAAGGTTGCCAGTTGATTCCTGGCCAGGGCACCTGCCCAGGTTGCGGGTTTGGTCCCCAGTTGAGGCATAAGAGAGGCAACCGATCAATGTTTCTCTCCTGTCAATGTTTCTTCCCTTCTCCTTCTCCTTCCCTTCTCCCCTCTCTAAAAAGATAAATAAATAAAATCTTAAAAAAAAAAAAAAAGAGTTCATTCATCAGCACAAAGTAAAGACAGTGAAAAGATAAACCACGCTTGAGAAAATGTGTACAGTATCTGCACATGAAAAGGGGATTCTTGCCCAGAGTGTCTAAGAAAACATCAGAAATAAGAGAAGATAGAAATGAGTAAAATGACACCAAGTGACTGAAAATTTTCACAGAAGATGGAATACCACATGCTCAGTCTCAATGGTGATCAGTAAAAAACCATGTTACCAGAAGATTCTGGGCCATACATTTTTGGAAAACAAAAATTAACTTAGGTAACATAAGTGGTGGACACAAGAATAAAAGGTACGGAGGGGGGTGTATGTGTGTCAATTCATATGCTCTGCCATCATTTTCTGGTAAATTTAAACTTACCCATATGTATGACACCATGATTTGTCTCTGAAGTATAGAAACCGAAGTTGCAATTTCCACTTGGAGATGAAAACCAGAATGCCTGTTGTCTACCTGCTGACTAGCAAAAATACACTGAAAAGAACCCAGACCACACAAACAGCGGTATGGATGAGTAAACTGGAGACCAAGCCTGACGCTAGGATCACAGAGAAGCCCCTGGGTAACAGTAATGGTATACTAATGTTAGCATTCACTTATCGGAAATTTAAGGGGCAAAAATCAAACCATACACTGCTTGGAGACGAGTAAGGGCTGGTAAAGGCATAAGGAATAAGACTCGGGACAGCAGTCACCCTGGCAGCGAGAGCAAGATGACACACAGCAGCAGCACGTGGGAGATGCAGGGTGCTAACGACTGCCCGGGGCCTGGCTCTTCACCGAGGCAGTGAGTGCATGGATGTTTGTATTATTATTCAACCTTAATGCAAAATTTAAGCCGGCATTTTACACACAGCCCCAAGACATCCACAGTGCGCCTCAGGACGAACCGCTACGGCCCATGTGCAGGTAGGTGGGCTCCCCAGGTTCCGTGGCTTCTCTTTTGGGTAGTTTTAGGGGCTGGAGGCCCCCTCTAGAGGGAGGTGCCCAGCAAGGCCCCACTGCAGTGTCCTTCATCTCCTACTCAGGACTAGCTTTGGGAGGAGCTTGTACCTACCAAGGTGAAACAACTGCTTCAAGCACTGTTGTCATTTAGATGAGAGAAGGACCCCTGTTCCAGCCTATGCATGAGATCCCATAGAATCATGCTTCCGGATGAACTGGGGGAGGGAAGTTCTAGGTTACTGTTATGGATTTAAGAAACTAGAAACTGAGTATCTCTTTCAGAAGACAAGTGTCAGTTTATTATTATTGTCATAACAAATTATAAATCAATTAATCAGAATTGAACACATCAGTTCCTTAGTCACATTTCTCAGAATTTCCATTAATCTCTAAAGACCAGCTATTAACAGGAAGTGGGATAAGATCACACAATGTCACACACTCAACCCTGAATGGGTTACTAAAATTTTTATGAATATTCTAATCCATATCTCCACCCACCTCACACGAAGGTGTGGAACTGCATGCATTTTCCCTAAAACTGTAATGGAAGGGAGTATACTCTATTGAGACACTTTTCCTTAGCAGCCTCTTGGGTCAGTCCAGGAATAACAGGAGTCAGCCAGACAGGACACAGACCTGACTGACTTACCACCCTCACTAAAGGAAAGAAAGCAGGCAAAAAGCATTCAGTCACTTTACATCTGCTGAAACCTGAGGCTGGAAAAAGGGAAAGCTCAGTGCTGAACCCAACACAAGGGGCTGGTGGCTCACAGGTATCAGACGACAACCCTGTACCCTCCTTGAGTCCTGTGTTCCTAGAAACATTGGTGGAGGTGAAAAAAACGCTCCATCAATTTGTTCTGGAAAAAGGCAGACTGCAAGAACCCCCTTCCCTTTGCTTATCCATGACAAGGCCAGAGGCAGACCCCACAAAATCCCAGTTCTGTGTCTCACCATTGATTAGGTGAACTGCTCATCACCACTGAGCAAGCATAGCAAACGCTTGTTGGCCAGACTTTGTCCAGCCTCCCCTCTTCTGCCAGGCGGCTTAACTTTGACCCACCTTCATCCAGCCAGGGACAGCAGCCCTTACTGAGAACTCACTGACCTGAGGACCTGCCACCCCAGCCACATCTGGTACTTCCTAGTTTTGTGGACTCCTTCTATAAAAGCAAAACAACTCTTTTCTTGAAACACTTGGAGATCAGCTGATGAGAATTTCTCCCTACAGCACAGCTCCTGCTCTGAGTGTACCAGTCCCTTCTCCCCATCCTTTAAAGTAATTCTTTTAAATAAAGGTCTCTCTTCACAAAGCCTGGATTTTTCCTCTTTCATAGCCTTGTCCAAGTAATCACAATTTCCCATTATTTTAAACCCAAGATTTAGTCAGCTTCCTGTCCTCTCCACAGCACCTCGAGTTTGGACCCCTCTCTCCACATATTCCCACTGGCCCCATATGAACAAGCACTAAGTTGCAGAACAAGCCCCTGCTGACCTGAGCTGAGAAGTCACTCAGTATATGGAGGATGGTCCCATCACACTGTTAACCAGGAAGGGACCAGGCCCAGAGCAGGTCTGCCTCAGGCCAGCCTATAGAGTGTGGGTTCTTTTTCTTTCCTTAAATTTTTTTATTTATTGATTTTAGAGAGAGCTAGGAAGGGAGGGAGAGAGAGAGAGAGAAAGAAACATCAACTTGTTCCACCCATTTATGCATTCATTGGTTGATTCTTGTATGTGCCCTGACTGGGGACTGAACCTGCAACCTTGGTGTATCTGGACAACACTCCAGCCCACTGAGCACTCCCAGCCAGAGCCATGTGTGCAGGAGCGATTTCATAACATGAGTCCAGGTGAGTTTGAGAGTACATTTGTTAAAGCTGGGACCAGTGAAACAAGGGCTTAGGATAGAAGCAGCCAACAGGAGAGATCCTAGGTGGGGCTGCTTCAGCTCTCTAGAAATGCTAGAGGAGAGAAATGAGCCTAGAGGGCACTGCTTTGATTGCTACCCTGCTTTTGTGAGGTCCCTTAGACTTGAGGACATGCATGCCCCTAGGTGAAGGAGGGGAGGGAAAGTTGTGGGCTTCTGAAAGGAAGAGTGGCACTAGGACCTTTGTTTTGAGGGTTTTTTAAGGGTAGGAGTTTAGGAGAGGAGCCCAATAGGATATTCATCAGCTTTTCCAGGTGTGCACTTTCAGGGTCTTGGTCTCTACTGACTGGCCAGCCCTAGGGCAGGAGGTTATTAGTCATTCAGCTGGTCCTGGCATAGTCTCCTGCCCGGTTTTGCTGGTTTTCTGGGCCTGGAGCTGAAATACTTTAGGAAGTTAAGGTGTGGGGGAGAGGCAGAGTGGTGCCTAAATTGCAACCAGCAATATGCCAGGGGAAGAAAGGCCACCCCGGTGCCAGTTTTGCCGTTGCTAGGCACCCAGGCCTTCCAGCTGTGGTTGCCTTCTGTATGTTTGTTCAGCTGTGTCTGTTTCCCAATTTCACTTGCCAAGGAATTTTCCTACATTCTTACTATCCTGCCTCAACACCACCTTCCTGCTCACCCTCCTCACCCAGAAAAGCACTTCTCTCTCTGATTTCAAACGCTGACATAGCTCTACAATAGGAGCCTTGTACCTACTCTACAGGCTCCCCCATCAGCCTCTGCGTACCCAGTCGGTGGTGGTCCCGCCCTCCATGGGTCCCACAACCCAGCTGCAGACCTGGGTGAGGACCCCTGGGACCCCACATGATACCAGGACACCGGAAACCCAACCCCTGCGGAGGAAAGAGATTCAAGCCCGAATTCTTGGGAATGGGGGTGGGGGAAGCCGGGGAGAGGGACATGGGAGACCAGGCCTGCAATCACTTCCAGCCGGTTCCGGTCAGTGGAACCAGCCTCTCCTGGTCTCAAGTCCGACTCCAAGCATTCACCATCCCGAGGCCCTGGTGCAGGCTGCCGGATCCTACCCGCAGCTCCTCCTCCAGGGCTGTCGACAGGACGAGCCAGACAAGTGGAGCCACAAGGGGTGGACTAGCTCTAGGGCTCCGGAGAGCAACGATTACGTGGGCTGTGAATGCACCACCCACAAGCCTGATTGAACGGTACTGCAAGGTCCAGCATTGTGACTGGACTGTGGACTCTGACTGGACAGATCTCGGGCACACACGGGACCCTGGTAGGACAGAAGGCCAGATCGTTCCGGCGGAGTTCCTAGCCCCCCTCAGTAATCACGATTATACTCAGTCCCCAGACCGCCTCCCCTGATTGGACAGTTACAGTCCCTGGGGCCTGAGTGGTGGGCGGAGATGGAGGTCACCTGGATCAACCCCGCAGGAATGCTGATTCAGGGCGCCGCCCGTTCCCTGCCACACTTTCTCCAGGGACAGTACGGGCGGGCGTTAGAAGGTGCAAAAACAAAACAAAACGAAAACAAACAAAAAACCCGGCCCAGGGTGGGCTGACTCCGCATCAACCCGCAGGCCAGTGGCTTTTCTTGATTTGGGAAGTTGTGATCAAGTTTTCCCTCTGATCGCCCCTTGTCCAAAACGAGATAGGAGGAAAGAGGAGGGCCTGGTGAACTCGGGGTCCGGGGTTGAGCCAGGCGGCATGGTCGCCATGGATCTGTTTCCTTCATAAATACTCATCAGCGGTACAGGATACAGCAAGGGAAAAGAATTCTAGGGCACTTTCATAGTTTTAAATAACTGGAAACTGGATATCTCTTTCAGAAAATATCAGTTCACTACCAAACTCATGATAAATTGCAAGTCAATCAGAACAGACTATGTCTAGCCTTTATAGGTCACGTATTTAGAGAATGTGCATAAAATTCCGACTCAGATTTTAACATGAAAGAGAACAGGATCACAGTGTCGCCAACTCTGCAGCTCGTATGGAAAAGTCACTATTATGTGAATGACTCCTTAAATCCATCTCTTCACCTCATTTTAATGCGTGAAAGTTTGCATTTTCCTCACAATATTAGGGGCGCGTTCCTAAGACACCTCTGGAAATATTCCCACAGCGCCGGCACCAGACCCCACGGCGGAGGGCGGACACTGAGGTCGGGACGCAGGGGATCCTTACGTGGGGACCGGACAAGAGGCCAGGATCACACCCTGCGGCTGAGCGCCGAGACTCCGGTGGGGATGACGGGGGGAGGGGGGCGAGACGCGCGCCTGCGGCGCATTCCGGCCGAATGGAGCCAGCCCTTCCCGCTCTCCGGTCGCACCGGGCACTCACCATCTCCACGTTGCTCAGAAAACGATGCCCCGCGGCTCCGCGACCGCGGCAGGTGAGAGCGACGGTGACGGGACCCGTGGGGTCGCGCGTGGAACACGTGCTGTAGCACTGTTGCGGAAGAGAGCGAAGCTGAATGAATGATGGACGGAAGCAGAGGTCACGTGGCTGAGGAAGGCGGAAGTGCGAGTTTTTAACCGCAGTACGTTTCTGCCCGCCTCCCCGCCAGAGCTGACCCGTCCGACCGGAAGGTCGGTTGAGAGCAGCATGTGCTCCTGAACTGGAGGACTCAGCTCCTCAGAACTGGGTCCGCCGAAGCTCCTCGGCCGTTTCTTGTCCTTTCGCTGGATCAGAAAGTCCTGAGTCAGTTTCCCAGCGGAGAACCACTTTTCCGGAACCACAACAGGCGACCCCCTGACTGCCCGTGGCAAGGTCAGTGTGGATATGTGACCCCTGTTCAAGAATGATGAGTTTGAAGTGTGACCTTTGACACCAGCAGGCCCGCCCTCCTTCCTGCCCCCACATTGCGGCTTGAGGTCAGCAACTGAAGGTCCAGGATCCTTTATCCCTGGGGAGTGGGGAGCCCGCCGCCGGCCATCCATCACACAAACACAAGGTGTGAAATGTTAGAATTCAGGTGTGCATTTGCACTGAAAGGAAATTTATGTCAAATCACGTTTTCAGTCAGTCCCTGTGAATTTTGAAATGTAAAAGGCTGGATTTACTTAGATTGCATAGTGATGTTGCACAGCTTTGTGAGACTACCAGAAACCACTGAGCTTTACACTTAAAAGTGTGAATGTGATGGTATGTGAATTGGGTCTCCATTTTTTAAGAAAAACTTAAAGACGTTAATAGCCAATGTAAACACTATCTCCTGGCCACCACTAAAATACTTTCTGTCTCTAGATTTGCCTAGTCTGGATATTTTGTATAAATGGAACCACAAACTGGCCTGTTGTGTCTGACTTCTTTCACTGAGCATAACGTTTTCAAGGTTCCTTCATGTTGCAGCACGTGTCAGTGCTTTATTCCTTTTTATGGCTGATTAGTATACCATTTCTATGTATATGCTACACTTTGCTTATCCATTCAGCCACTAGTGGACATTTGGAATGTGTGCGCCTTTTGACACTTTTGAATAGTGCTGCAATGAACATCCACATACACGTATTTGGGTATCGGTTTCAATACAGGTAGCAGTGGTATATTTGGATCATAGGGTACCTCTGTGTGTGACTGTGAGGAGCCATCAAGCTCTGACACAGTGGCAGCACCATTTCACATCCCCATCAGCTATGGACAAGGGTTCCAAAATTGTCTACACCCGGGACAGCACTTGTTTCTGATTTTTGGATTGTGAAGTGGTATCTCTTGTGGTTTTGGTTTGTATTTTCTTGACGGTTAGTGATATTTTCATGTGTTTCTTGTTCATTGATATTTCACCTTGGAGAAATGTCTGTGTAAGCCCTTTGCCCATTTTTTAATTGGGTTGTTTTTATTTTTGTTATTGATATGGAAGGATTCCTTGCATATTCTGGATAATAAACCTTATCATGATTTACAAACATGTTCATTCATTTGGTAGGGTGTCTTTTCACTCTCTTGATAATGTCGATGCACAAAACTTTTTTAATATAGTCCGATTTATGTATATTTTCTTGTGTTGCCTGTGCATCTGATGTTATATTTAAGAAACCATTTATCAAATCTGAGTTCATCCTGTGTTTCCTTCAATACTGAGTTGCCCAGGACGGCCTGCTGGTGGGGGTAAGAATTCCAGCGGGGCCGCTTTCAAGCCCTGGAACTGGGAAGAAGGCTGATAAAACACATGTCCCTAGATAATTTTTTAATGTGAAAAGCCATGATGTTCAAGGTAACAGAGCTTCCACTTTAAGTGATAATGATCCATTCCTATACCAATATACTTGTATTATACTCTTGTATTTTCATAGTTATGCTACCGGCATAAGTTATTAATTTTTTTAAAAGATTTTATTTATTTTTAGAGAGATGGGAAGAGAAGGAAAGAAACGTCAGTGTGAGAAATTGATTGCCTCTAACACATGCCCTGACTGGGGACTGAATGAAATGGTGACTTTTTGCTTTGCAGGATGATGCCCAGTCAGCAGAGCTAAACTAGTCACAGTTATTAATATTTTATCAAGTTACAATAAGCCCCTTCACCTCATTATATAGAAAAGCATGGCTATTATTGAACATTTGTTCTATTTATAAAATTTAGAAGTGGGGAAAATTCCCAAGAAAAACTGGGTGGTAGTATTAAAGGAATTTTATGAAAATGATACAGCTATTGGTTAAGTATTAACGTCATGGAGACATTGCCCTCTCCTTTATTAGAATACGACCCATTTTTACATGTATTTTAGTCAACTGTGATGTTATTCAGTGTAATTTTATGATTTTTAAGTTAGGTTTTCATTTATTTTGGTACTTGAATCACTTCAGTTTTACTTTTCTACCTGTTGTGTTTTAAATTACTCAACTTCTATACATAATTAGAAAAAAAATTTTATATTAAGTTGATATCCTAAAAACCTATTAATCATTTTTTTCCTGTTGGTTAACCCTTATATGCTTTTGAGGTTCTATATGATCCTATATACACAATTGTTTCAGCTCTGAAACAGGACCAGTTACTTTCTTCTCCTTTATTAACCTGATACCTATTTCTCATGGCACTTACTCAGATACCAAGTCAACTGCTGAAGGGGACGGGAATGATGTGTATTCTTGTTTGGTATAAAATTTTATTAAACAAGAGAATGTTGAATATTCTTGTTCAGTATTATGTTCTTTCATAAACATGTTTTTGAAGAGGGCCTTCAGAAAATTTTGAAAGTTTTCATCTATCCCTAAATTACCAATAAATTTGTCATAGGTGAATGTTGAATAGTATAAAATGCTTTTATCCATCTATTGAGATAATTAGTGATAGATTTTTAAAATGTGGTACCATAACATTTTACTATAAAATATACATGCAGAAAAATGCGTAAAACTTTTTTTTAAATCCTTGCCCAAGGGTATGTTTATTGATTTCAGAGAGAGAGGAAGGGGGAGTGAGGCGAGGGTTGGGGGGTGGGAGGGAGAACATCAATATGAGAAAGAAACATTGATTGGTTGCCTCCCATATGTGCCCCAACCAGGACTAAACTCTCAACATAGGTATGTGCCCTGATCGAGGATTGAACCTGCAAACTTTCTGGTGTACGGGACAATGTTCCAACCAACTGAGCCACCTGGCCAGGGCCATAAGATGTATATTTGACAAAAATATTACAACATAAACATCCATGACATCATAACCCATACAGGACACTGAGACCACCCCCACCCCACATCCCACTGGCTGATGCCCTGTCAGAAACCCCACCTTGCCCTCTCAAAGTCACCAACATTCCAAACTAATACAAGATAATTTCCTTTTCCCCTGGCTGGTATGGCTCAGTGGATTGAGCACTGGCCTGCAAACTAAAAGGTCGCTGATTCAATTCCCAGACAGGGCACAGGCCTGGGCTGTGAGCCAGATCCCCAGCTGGGGGCATGCAAGAGGCAACCGATTGGTGTTTCTCTCCCTCTCTTTCTCTTTCCTTTCCCCTCTCTCTAAAAATTTCCTTTTGTTTCTGTGTACTTTTGTCACCTGTGTATGCAATATTTTTCCCTGTTTTATATTGCATGTAGGTAGAATCACACGGTATGTACTATTTTATATCAACTGTCTTTTGTTCAGAAATGTTTAGAGTCTTCCAGAGCCTCGCCCTTTATTCACGGTTATTATTCTCTTTTTACCCTCGGAGGGTTTTATCTTTTTATGTATTGATTCAACTGCTAATGGCTATTTTGGCAGTTTCACAGTTTTGCTATCAGGGTTAATGTTTCTAATAATAATAATAACATTCTTTTTAAATGTTTTCTTAAATTGTAGTAAAATCCAGTAACATTCTTATACCTTTATCTTCTGCTTTAGTCCGTCCCAATCTCATCCCCTCTTCCACATGCTGCTGCTAGTTGAACCTTCACGCTCCCGAAGTCCCTCTCCAGGGACTGACATCTCAGTTGGCAACTCCATCCTGCCCTTTGTTTCTGTTCAAAATAATGGGGTCACCGTTGACCCCTCCTCTCCCCCAACCTTCAGTCCATCAACAAATTCTGATGGCTCTGACTTAAAATTAGATTTGTGAGAATGGTGTCTGTCTTCAAGGTAACTGAGGGATTTTGGGAAGCTGCCTCATCAGGTCACTCTCAGGCTCCATGTCACTCACCACCAAAGCCAGCCGACCACGGCGGCCAGTGCATCGCAGTGCCATGTGCCCACCAACCCCAGCGCTGTCCTGCCACCTGTGCTGTCCTTGCTTCCCTCTCACTCTGCTCCGGGCACACCGGCCGCTGGCTGACCTTCCCAAATGTACTTGGGGAGTGGATTAGTTTGCTTGGGGTGCCATGACAAAGTGCCACAGACTGGGTGGCTGAAACAATGGAAATTTATTTTCTCACCATTTAGAAAGGCAGAAGTTTGAAATCAAGTTGTTGGCAGAATTGATTCCTACTGGAGGCTGTGAGGGAGAATCTGACCCAGGCCCCTCTCTCAGTTTCTGTGGTTGCCTGCAGTTCTTTGTTTTCCTTGGCTATTAGATCACACGGACCTCTGCTTATGTCCTCACATGGTGCAAACATGTCTGCCTTCTGTGCAGGGCTCTGGGTCCAAACTTTCTCTTTTTATAAGGATGCCCATCACTGGATTAAGACTGACTAATTCAGTATGACCTTATCTTGATTACATCTGCAAAGTATTTCCAAAAAGATCATATTCTGAGCTTCCAAGTAGATATGGAATTTGGGGGAATGCCGTTGAACCAGTGTATACATATACATACACTTGTACATATTTTATAATTTATTTCAGTATCAGCTTTCAGTGTTGTCTGGAATAATTAATTTACTATTCTGGTTTACTCTTCTCCGGACTCAGATATATATGAAATATATAAAATCTCTCTATCCATATCCTTCTTATCTTTCAAAGTGCTGAATATTTCTGTGCTACTGTGAAAAGGCAATGGAATCTACAGGTAGATATTGTTATTCATTGTGGGTAAGGCTTCGAGCTCTATGTCCCAGAATCCCCGTCATTGTGACCCAGGTTAGAATTCAGCAGTGGCCTCACTTGCATGATGTTTGGAAGGGACAAGTGAAGAAGCCACTGCTCTCAAGGTTGGGAGCCACCGTACACGCTGACAGAACAATACAGTAGGCTTCTTGGGCACCAGCTCACAGCTTGCTTTCCTGATAACCAGCCTGGTCAGTCAAGTATGTACCCGAACCAAACACCAACTTTTTCTTTGGTTTTTTAGAGGTCCTGGCTTCCACACATGAGCTCCATGTGCTCCCCTTTGTGGATCAGAGTCTATATGAGTCCACAGGATTGGGTTGTCCAGCAAGCCCCAGTGTGCCCACCAGGCCACAGATTTAGGTTATCCTGGTTGTGGATTGTCAGATGCGTTGACTTTCCTCTTCTCTAGGTCTTACCAAGTTTGTGTGAGATTGCAGTTCTGTAGTGAACATCCGCTCTATTGACAATTTAATGAGATCCGAAATCCTGACTCCATCACGACAAATAGGATGGTGCAGACAAAAATCCATAGGACTTTGTTTCTCTACAGCAACATTGAGCGGCCACTCTGCTCCATCCTTCCATGTGAGAAATAAGCCGCTTCCTCGTCTCTTAGATTATGGGAGTTTTTGTTACTGAATACAAGCCCTCAGTTTGCGTTCAACTGTTATGTTTATGTGTGATTAAAAATGATTTGCATTTTACTCAACGAAGTGCATCTGTTTCAGAAAAATCATATTAACTGTTTTCAGATCACTTGTACATTAACAAATGTTACTTTCCAGTGGCTGAGAGGTGATATTAAAATATCCCTTTGCACTTATGGGTTGTCAAATTAGCCTCACAATTTCCTCAATTTAAGACAGTCTATATTCTTATGCATTCTTAGTCAATAGGACCAGGTGCATATGAGTTTAAGGAGTTTTCCATTCAGGTAAACGTCTATTCTTATATACTTAAAATTTTTATTTAAATAACTTAATAAAAGTAAAATAATGACTTTGTCAGTGTTATCTAGCCAAAAATAAAGAGGATCACACCTGTAGTCAACAGAAAGTGGGGTACTGACTTAGACCATTGGGGATAAACACACCTCATACAGGACTGTACAACGTGTCAGTAGGGACATTATGATGTTTATGACATTAGAACATTTTACGTATGTTAGATGACTTGAGTGTTTGAAGAAGTGACCCTTTACTCTGGATTAGATGCTGTTAGGAGGTCAACATAACTTTATGATTGGATATCTTAATCGTTCTTACCTCAAAAGCAGAGAGGATGAAGTGCAGCTAAAATTAGCAAAGAAGCACTAGTCACGTTAGCCAGAAGCAGGAAGGTTTGGTGAGTTTTGTGGTTTGGACTGTGTTCCATTTTTAGCCTTTTTACAGACATGCAGTCTCCATCTTGCCTCTGAGCTTCCTGCTTTGGGCCAACTCTCCTGCGGCCCTGTGGGTGCAAAGATAGGGACTGGACTCTAGAATCCTGCTGGGCAGCGCCCACAAGTGCCGCAGCCACTGGGAGAGCAATGTCCAGGTGGGCTGCAAGCGTGCCTGGCCCTGGCCCTGGCCCTGATTGGAGGGTGCTCCTGGAATCCCTCCCACAGGACCATATCCGGAGTGGTATGAGGTACTCTGGGATACGAGGCACTGATCCACCAGCCCAGAAGTCGGCTCCAGCAGAACCTGCACCTAGCCTCTCGGACTTGATGGCGGCAGCTGTGGGAGGGGGGCGCTCCTTGTCCTCCTTGTGGACTGATAAGTCCTCAGTTTCCCCAGGGCACCCCTTGTATGGAGCTGTGACAGAAGAGGACAAAAGCACCTAGTGACCTCCTGGCTCAGGAATCAGCTGGGGTTGTGGTCCCATAAGCCCCTGCTCTTTGTTTAACAACAGACTCAAAAGTGTCACCTTGTGCAAGGCAGTGTACCACTTGATGTTAACCTATAACCTTAGGGAGGTCCTGCCATCTGTTCCTGTCCCCACCTCTGGAGTTTCAGATCAGCACCCAGAGTCATATCAGCTGGTGTGGGAGTCCCACTGAGTGGATGCGACCCACATGTCCCATGCTGTCACAGGTCAGCACAGCTATGGAAAGCTTTCTTAGTGTGTCAATGCCTGAGAAATGGTAATATTGATTCATGAATTGATGACACTGGAGAATAAAGTCCATTCTGATGATTGTTGAAATGGATTAGGTACAAGATTCCTCTTGGTACAGGTATCTTCACTGACCGTTTCCTCTCTCAAGTTCCTCATGGACTAATGTTACACCCCATCTGAGATATACAGCCACAGCCAGGTATATGCAAACACCACATATTTCCATATTGCACATGGCCAGAGAAATATCATGGAGGCCATCTGACAGAGAGACAGAAACTAAGCTTTGTCTTCCAGGGGGCAGATCAATAGAACGATAAATGAGCTGAATGGAAAAAGAAAAGCATGGCCCATTTTCTCATCCAGTGGAAACAATACAAGGGTCCATCCCGGGGCAGTACCATTAACAATCAATTACCATCCATCATAGGAAGAATCATCCTGTGGATATTCAGCAAAATTACTAGCAACAAGACGGATCTAAGACAGGAATGTGTTTTCATTAAACCTCTAAATGCTATTTAAAAACAAACATTTAGAAGCAGCATTTCCAGAAATTAGTAGAGTTTACTCAAGGCACTTATGCCTATAAACTGAAGCTCTGTCTCCTATCTCATTCTCACTGCGCCTGAGGTGCTCACCACACCTAGAACACTGGTCTGGTTCTCCATAGACAACTAGGGAAGACGCGTATGTCTACTTCCCCATCCACACTGTTGAGCTGTAGGAGCCGCACTCCTGGCTGGAGACCACTGACATAAGCAATAGCTACGTTTTCAATATTAGTTAGCAATGAATAAATCATTTTTATTTTTTAAAAATGGTAGCTGCATAAATATTAAAGAAAAACCAGAAAATAGTTTCAAAAAGTGTATTTAGTACTATTACTCCAGAATACATATGAAAAAATGGTCACAATTACAAGAATAAATTATTCCTTAGAATGGGTTATTTTAACATATCTCTCTATTAAACATAAAACATAACGTGTCAGTATACAAATTTGAAAACCTAAATAGTTAAGAAACAAGGTAGAAAACACATTTGAAAAAAATGCACTGTTTGAGTCACGTGTTAAAAAAAAATTAGAATTAGGCTTGACTAGTGTGGCTCAGTTGACTGAGCATCGTCCCACAAAGAGAAAGGTCACTGGTTCCATGCCTGGGTTGCAGGCCATGTCCCCAGTTGGAGGCGTGCTACAGGCAACTGATTGATGTTCCTCTCACACATCTATGATTCTCTCCCTCTTTCTTCCTCACTTCCCCCTTCTCTAAAAATAAAAAAAATCTTTTAAAGGATGAGAATTAAACACTTGGTAATCACATATAAAAATTAAGCATAATTAAACATACTTATCATTTAGAGAGCATTCAGCTATAAGAGAAAACTTCCACAAACTGCCAGATGTATTCACAAATGCGTATTTCAATCATGGAAGAATTCAGAAACAAGAAATGCAAGGTCAGTGCAGCATCTCAACAATGCAACCTGGGAGGTGAGTTTCCTTTGTTTTTGGCTCCAGCATTAAATGTGTCAGTGTGGAGGCAAGAAAACGATCTACCAGTAGAAAAACAAGATGCTTGCTACAAAAATCACGTAATTAGGAGAGGCACTGGGGATGAAGGAGGTTGACAGGATGAAGGAAGATTGCTAAATTCTATAACCTGAAGACGTAGCCTGTTGTACATCAGAGAGATACAGGAAAATGCAAGAATCTGTGTAAACCTGAAAACCAAAGAGGGCCCATGATGGGGGAGCTTCTGGAAATGTCTGTAGAATCTACTGCCTAAGAGAAAACTAACATCAAATGTGTGTTTCATTGGGGCTGTTCCAGAAGGCAAAGGCAGAAATCAGACAGATGCGCTCTACATTAGGCTCCCACATCTCTGTCTGCTGACGGCAGAGAATATCTGAGAGTCATGGCTTCACTTCCAAACCTTAGGCACCTTCCTCTTCTCATGACCTAAAGGAAAGGAAGGTGAAATACAGCTTCCCAGCTTACCCCTGTTGAGAGCATAATACATGGAATCATCTAAACACCAGCTTTCATTTTCACACCATGGGGTCTCTCTTTGTAATTCAATGCATCGTGTCCAATTTCCAATTAAGATCAGGGACATTAAGCAAAGGTCAAATTAAGAACATAATCAGAGAAGATCTTGCCATAATTACTAACTTCTGTGAGGAACACAGATGTGGTATCCACTAGAAACAAAGAAGTGTGAAGGATACAAGTTTCTATAATAAAGACTAAAGTGAAGGGTAGATATCTGCAGCAGTGAACCAGGAAAGAAATTTAAACAATACGGGTCTCATATCATGATCACATACTTGGAACATAATGGAAAGAATAAAAAAACTTTTCATCTAAAATTATATCATTTCACATGAAAATAAAAATAAAAACCACTTAATCTAATCACTATTCTGTAAACCTGAAACTGATATAAAATAATATTGGATGTAAACTGTAATTGAAAAAAGCAAAATATAAAAGGGATAATATGTCTACACTCCAAATTTACAAACATAAACAAAGTTTTGCCATTAAAAGAAAGAGAGAGAAGCCCCAGCAACTCTTAACTGCTATATGATACTGGGCAAGTCATTTTAGCTCTCCGAGCCTCAGTTTCCCCAACTGTAAATTTTACACAATAACGTCACTAAATTATGAACAACAAAAAAACCCCCACTAAATACTAAGTCCAAAAGTAATAGTAATGGCAATGAGACAAGTTTTATACAACTATACAACTACTTAAAGCCCAAGATAATACAATATGTATAGTACAGATGCAGGGACATAGAGAAATATTTATCTCAAGTTTTCATATCAGAAACATAACCAGACATTAATACACTGGAAACCACTAGTAAGGATAAGTTATTTACAAAGGCAATACTATATATATATAATAGTTAAAAGATTTCAGCCTGCTCTGAATTTTCATGTACAAAATAAGAAAAGTGCTATATCTGAAGGTTTTTCCATTTTTTTTCCATCCATATAGTTTCTTTCCAGTGTTTGCTCACATTTACAACAAAATTTTAAAGAAGAATAAAGGCATCCCACAGTCCTTGTGCTCAGTTTCTGACATCATGTGTCCTCACATGTGCTTGCAGGTATCCACGATACATGGAGGCTCTCCCACATTGCTGACATTCAGGTATTCTTTTCACTGTGCGTTCTCACATGTTTCCGCAGAGATGTGGGATACCTGAAGGTTTTCCCGCAGTGCTGACATTCATCAGGCCTCTCCCCAGTGTGTGTCCTCACGTGTACTCGCAGGTTGTCAGGATATCTGAAGGATTTCCCACACTCCTTACACTCATAGGGTTTCACCCCAGTGTGTGATCTCATATGTCCTTGAAGGGAACAGAGACGACTAAAGGCTTTCCCACACTGCTGACACTCAAAGGGTCTCTCCCCACTATGCATTCTCACGTGTATTCGAAGGGATGAGAGAAAACTGTAGGATTTCCCACACTCTTTACATTCATAGGGTTTCACCCCGCTGTGTATTCTCATGTGGCCTTGAAAATGTTGAAGCTGCCTGAAAGCTTTCCCACATTCCTTACATTCGTAGGATTTCTCCCCACTATGTGTTCTCACATGTTTTTGAAGGTAAGAGTGACTGGTGAAGGCTTTGCCACACTGCTGACATTCATAGGGTTTCTCCCCAGTGTGCGTCCTCACGTGCACTCGCAGGGATGCCGCGTACCTGAATGCCTTCCCGCAGTGCTGACATTCACAGGGTCTCTCCCCAGTGTGTGTCCTCACATGTACTTGCAGGTTTGCAGGAAACCTGAAAGCTTTCCCACATTGCTGACATTCATAGGGCTTCACTCCACTGTGCGTTCTCACGTGCCCGCGAAGGGAGGAGTGACGGCTAAAGGTTTTCCCACAGTGCTGACATACATAGGGTCTCTCCCCACTGTGTGTCCTTGCATGTTCTTGCAGATTTGTGAGGTACCTGTAGACTTTCCCACACTCCTTACATACATACGGTTTCAGTCCACTGTGTGTTCTTACGTGCCTTCTAAAGTATTTCAGACTACCGAAACCTTTCCCACATGCCTTACACTCATAAGGTTTCTCTCCAGTGTGAGTTCTCACATGTCCTGTAAGGTAAAAGTAATACATAAAGGCTTTCCCACATACTTTGCACACATGGACTTTCTGTCCACAGTGACCTCTCAAATGTCCCCGAAAGGAGGAGTGGCAAGTGAAAGCTTTTCCACATTTCTGACACTCAATAGAGTTTTTATTACTGAGATTCTTCACGTATCTCTTACATGCTCTCCCAGTCTCCTGACAGTGACAGGGTTTCTCCACACAGTCTGGTCCCACGTGAGGGCTTGGACATGAGACACACCTGCAGGCTTGTCCGCATTCCTCACATGGATGAGGTTCATGTCCATTGGGAGATCTTGGCTGATTTGAGCAGGCTTTTCCACACTTAGCGCACTCACGGGGTTTAACTCCAGGAGGATGTCTCTCCCCCACAGGAAGATCTGTGATGTGGTTCAGGGTGTCTCCGCATGGATTAGCGTCATTACTCTCACATGGAGTCTCCAGCATGTGATTTCTGTTCAAAATAAGAAGTACATTATTAGTGATTAATGATGATAAATGATTCCTTTATTAGTGATTATTAATGGTGTTAATAATTTTTTTAAGCACGTATTTACCATTTTCAATGCATGGGGATATTTTGGCACTGTCTGCATTGTTCCATCATGAAACAAGCATATTGTTCTGGCTGGGCTCAAATAGAGCCATAACTTTCAGTGTTTCTTACATCTTGGGCTTCCTGATCACTGTTTCCATCAGAATTCTGTTTCAGACACTCAATATCTACATCACATTTATGAGAATAGTGTTCCATGAAAATTCCCTGAGTACCCTATTGCTTAGCTAGGTTTATACTTTTTCTTTAATTTCAAGTTAGTCTTGAAATGCCTTCCCGCAGTGCTGACATTCACAGGGTCTCTCCCCAGTCTGTGTCCTCACATGTACTTGCAGGTTTGCAGGAAACCTGAAAGCTTTCCCACATTGCTGACATTCATAGGGCTTCACACTCCTTGTGTGTGAGTGGCTGTTCCCCTGTGCCACTCACCTCAGATGCCTCTCCTGGGGTTGGTGCCGACCTGCAATGTTATAGACTATACAGTTTTCTCTAAAATCAGGCCAGGAATCATTTCTTGTGAATCTTGGTATCTTCTCTTCACTGGATATTTTATTCTCCAAAGTGTCCTGCCCAGGACATGGGGCTCGGGTTTTAACTTGAGTGAAACAATCTGTAACTGATAGGATAAGTCAATTAAATTCCCTGGGAAGGAAATGGTAAAATAAAATAAGAATGCATGGGTTAATTTTCATATTCTCATAGAAAAGTGTAAACAAAGTTAATTAGGAAAAATACTTTTTTTAAAGGTTTATTTTGTTCGAGAGAGAGGGAAAGGGAGAGAGAACCATCAATGCAAGGCATACACGCCAATTGGCTGCCTCCTGCATGCATCCCAACCAAGGATCGAGCCAGCAACCTTTCAGTTACTAGACAATGCTCCAGCCAACTGAGCCATGCTGGCCAGGACAGGAAGAATAAATTTGTAAGCAAAGAAAGGGCCTTTGCTATTTGGGTCTTTGGCAATAATAGAAAAAGGGAGTCAAATAGCAGCCTGGTCACTAAGAAATACTACAGGAAAGATAGAGTCCAAATAAAGATAAATATTACCAAAAATGCAAAGTAGGGCAGACCTGGACAAAATGCATGTGCCCAAGTGCTCCCTTTACAAGAGGAGAGAGTCTTCCCACATGAGTGAGGATACATAAAAAGTTCAACAAAGAGGCCAGTAAATGTAAAACAGCACCCTTCTCAAACACAGACTGAGTTTCTAATGGATTTGTCCAAATATCAATCCCTTATCCAGAATCTCCTCTTCCTGAGGGTTGTTGCTCTCTGGAGTTGTCAGACACAGAGGCCCTAGATGAACCTTTCTTCACAGCTCCAGCTGCCATTAGAAAACAGGTGGCATGTCTGGCTGATGCCCTGCACCAGGAGAAAAGGTTCTCATGATGGAGGATGAAAGGCAACAGTCTATGAGAAGGACCCAGAGTTGGGCTTCATGGCCATTCATGGCGTATAGTGTGGATTTAATTGTAGCGTGACCATGCCAAATTTGTATTAATCTCATTGTAACTGTCTCAAGGGTGAAAATCATCAAGCTGTTCTCACTGCCCCACAGCAAACTGGAAATCTATGCTCACACTTATGAAAATCACGGAACCTCAGACTTTTCTTCAAAAGAAATAAAAAGTCAATTTAATACATAAAACAGTGTCATCATGAAAAAGATATTTGACTCTAGACAGGTTTCATGAAAACTTGGACTGCATCTGTCTTTTTGTTGACATGTTGGCCTTCCTTGGGCCCAATAAATAAGGACAACTGTAAGAAATACTTTTTCCATAAAAGACAGTGAAGGATGAAGCCATCCTTACCCACTGAGGCCAGGTTCCTGAACGTCTCCAGCATCACTTCTCTGTAGAGCTTCCTCTGAGCAGCATCCAGCAAAGCCCACTCTTCCTGAGTGAAGTTCACAGCCACATCCGCAAAGACCACTGTGTCCTGAAACATACCACACATTCTATTTCAATAAGGCACCACTTCACCAGCACGTGCAGGATAATGGGGGAGGCCAACAAAGAATGAAACTCAATTCCTAGAATTCCTGAGCTCATGCTCTTTCGGGAAATGACAATAAGCAAGCAAACCAAGTGCCCAACAGTGGTGGTAAAAGCTTGGAACTTTGAAGCAAAGTGCAAAGAACAAGTGATATAAACTTATTCACACATAATAAAAAAGAATTATTATTAATAAGGTAGAGCAGATTCTGAGTATGTTAAAGACTGAAAATGAAATCATCATTCAGATAATATGGAATTGAATACTTGGCTTGCTCAAAAGTTATTTCTTTGTCAGCTCCAAGACCTGGAACCAGAATGGCAGAAATTCACGAACACAGATTTCCAGTGCCGCTTGATCTCAATGGTCGTCACCTTGCACTTCAACAATGTTGAGGAGCTTGGTCTAGTCCCCTCATATCTGGCAGAGGCAGAGATACAACCCTCCAGATGAGGTGGACACTGTGGGCACAGGTGTAGGCCAGGGCCCGGGGCCTGGCATACCTGCTGGATAAAGAGGGGAACCTGGTCCCTGAAGAAATTTGCAAGCCTTCAGGGCCTCTCAAACAGCTGAGTGCCTGGAATTTGGGAAAAATGGTCCACAAAGAAGAACTGTTGAGCTCAGTGGATTGAATGTCAGCCTGCAAACTGAACTGAACCGAACGGTTGCCAGTTCAATTCCCAGTCAGGGCACATGGCTGGGTTGCAGCTTAGGTCCCCAGTCAGTGCACGGCCTTATGTCACTGCTCACTGATGCTAATACAACTTAAAGACAAGAAGGGAACACACATAGTCAGAAAGGAACCCAGAGCCAACTTCCCATTTAACACTGAAATGTTAAAACTGTTCCCTCTGAGATCCAGAACAAGAAGGTAAGGATGGGAGTGTATACAATTGTACACCTGTGAAGGCCAAGCCAGTGTGGCCACAGAAAATAAGAAAGTGGAAAAAGATTTACAAAGAGAAAACAGTAAACTTTACTAGTATTAGATGATAAGACTTAGTATTTAGAAATCCCGCAAACCAGAAAAAAAAAACAACCACCAAACACTTCTGACCAAGATGGAGGCATAGGTAGATACACTTTGCCTCCTTACACAACTAAAAGAAGGACAACAAATTTAAAAACAAAAAATAACCAGAAGTGTTAGACAATCAAACTGTACGGAAGTCCAACAACCAAGGAGTTAAAGAAGAAACATTCACTCAGACTGGAAGGAGGGGTGGAGACAGGCAGCCGGGGTGGAAAGGACACACGGCAAGGTGGTGGCAGGAGGACCAGGCGGGCAAAGCCGCTGCTGGCAGAATGGGACAGGCAAGGTGGCGGCTGGCAGACCAGGCAGCCCCACATTTGCTTGTGGATAAACTAGGAGAAACAAATGGGATGCGAGACAGACTCTGCAACCTGGGGTTCCAGCATGGGGAAATAAAGCGCCAAAACCTCTGGCTGTAAAAATCTATGGGGGTTGCAGTGGCAGGAGAAACTCCCAGCCTCATAGGAGAGTTTGTTGGAGAGACCCACAGGGTCCTTGAACCTACCGAAACCCACCCCCCACCCCCACATACAAAACCACTACACAGAGATGTGAGTTGCCCTGCCCTGGGGAATACCTAAGGCTCCGCCCCTCCCACTGTAAGAGGCATACTGAGACAAAAATAAAAATATGGCCCAAATGCAAGAACAGATCAGAGCTCCAAAAATAGAACTAAGCAATAAAGAGATAGCCATCCTATCAGACGCAGAGTTCAAAACACTGGTATTCAGGATGCTCACAGAAATGGTTAAGTGTGGTCGCAAAGTGGAGGAAAAAGTGAAGGCTGTATTGTGCAAAGTGAAATAAAAATATACAGGAACCAACAGTAAAGGGAAGGAAACTGGGACTCAAGTCAACTATATGTAGCAGAAGGACAAGATAAACATTCAACCAGAACAGAATGAAGAAACAAGAACTCAAAAAAAAAAGAAAATGAGCAAAGCCTTAGGAACCTCTGGGACAACTTTGAACATTACAACATCTGAATCATATGGATGCCGGAAGGAGAAGAAGAGTAAGATATTGAAAACTTATTTGAAAAAATAATGAAGGAGAACTTCCCCAACCTGGCCAAAGAAATAGACTTCTAGGAGACCCAGGAAACCCAGAGAGTCCCAAAGAAGTACACACCAAGGCACATCATAATTAAATTACCCACGATTAAAGATAAGGAGAGAATCTTAAAAGCAGCAAGACAAAACAAGACAGTTACCTACAAAGGAGTTCCCATAAGACTATGAGCTGCTTTCTCAAAAGAAACCTTGCAGGCAAAAAGAGCCTGAAAAGAAGTATTCAACGTCATAAAAGGCAAGGACCTACATCCAAGATTACTCTATCCAGCAAAACTATCATTTAGAATGGAAGGGCAGAGAAAGTGCTTCCCAGATAAGGTCAAGTGAAAGGAATTCATCATCACCAAGCCCCTACTATATGGAATGTTAAAGGGCCTTATCTAAGGAAAAGAAGACCAAAAACTATGAACAGTAAAATGACAACAAACTCACAACTATCAACAACTGAATCTTAAAAACAAAACAAAAACAAACTAAGCAAACAACTAGAACAGGAACAGAATCACAGAAATGGAGATCACATGAAGGGTTGTCAGTGGGGCGGGGGTGGGGAGAATGGGGGGAAAGGTACAGGAAATAAGAAGCATAAATTGTAGGTAAAAAATAGACAGGGGGAGGTTAAGAATAGTATAGGAAATGTAGAAGCCAAAGAACTTATATGTATGGCCCATGGACATGAACTAAGCCAGGGGGAGGGGGAGTGCAGAATGCTGGTGGGAGGAGGGGTGCAGGGTGAAGGGGAATAAAGGGGAGAAAAAAAGGGACAATGTAATATCATAATAAAATATATATTAAAAAAAAGAAATCCCCCAATCCTATAGACTGAATAAATAAATTATTAAATTTATAACTGACCATAGCAGAGTTGCTGGTTAAAATATAATAATCAAAAATCAATTTCATCACCAATAATACATCTAATAAGGTGTTAATACCCAAAATTTATAAAGAACTCACACAACACCAAAAGAACAAACAATCCAATTAAAAAAAATAGGCAAAGGACCTAAATAGACAGTTCTCCAAGAGGACATACAGATGGCCAATAGACAAATGAAAAGATGCTCGAAGTCACTAATCAGCAGAGAAATGCAAATTAAAACCACAATAAGATACCACCTCACACCTGTCAGAATGGCTGTCATCAACAAATTCACAAGAAACAAGTGCTGGCAAGGATTTGGAGAAAAGGGGAACCTTCATGCACTATTGGTGAGAATGCAGATTGGTACAGACAATGTGGAAAGCAACTAATTAAAAATGGAACTACCTTATAACCCAGTGATTCCAATTCTGGGAATATATCTGAAGAAACCCAAAACACTAATTCAAAAGAATATATGCACCCCTATGTTACTGCAGTGCTATTTCCAATAGCCAAGTTATGGATGCAAGCCAAGTTCATCAATAGACAAGTGGATAAAAAAGTGGTACATATATACAATGGAATATTACTCAACGATTAAAAAGAACAAAATCTTATAGGAAAAGAGGTCTCTGCTTCTAGAAACTTCAGCAGATCTTTAGCTCTCAACCCAGAGAAGATGTGGATAGTTTTATGCTTCAACATGGCTGGGTTATTGTACCCAGTTGTTCAATTAAACACTAATCAAAGAGCTGTTGAGAAAGTATTTTGATTTGGAGATGTGGTTAACATCTCCAGTCAGTTGACTTTAAGTACAAGGGATGACTCTGGATAGTGTGGGTGGGCCTCATCCAATCACTTATAAGGCTTTAAAAGCAAATACTGAAAGGCCTTAAAAACAAATACTGATGAACCCCTATGTTAATTGTAGCATTGTTTATAATAGCTAAGCTATGCAAGTAACTCAAGTGCCCATCAACAGATGAATGGATAAAAAAGCTGCAGTACATATACAGGGTGCAGCACAAATAACGCCCCTTTTTTATTACAAAATCATAAGCATATAATTCTGTAACATAACAATATCACACTCAAGCACACCATATGACATTTTAGGTGAAATGTTCAAATTAAAACTATAAATTATTACACCCATATTACTACCCTACCAACCACACTTAAGCAGGTGTTACTTCTTCTGGTCCCTGTATAATGGAATATTACTCATCCATAAAAAAGAATGAAATCTTACCATTGCAACAGCATGGATAGACCTAGAAGGTATTGTGCTAAGTGAAATAAGTAAGAGAAAGACAAATACCACATGATTTCATTTACATGTGGAGTCTAAATAACAATATAAACAAAAAAAGCAGAAACAGACTCAGATACAGCGAACAGACTGAGGGTTGCTAGAGGGGAGAGGATTGGGGACTGGGGGAAAAAGGTGGAGGGATTGTAGTTAAGGGATGTACAGCCCAGCATAGGGGATATAGTCAATAAAATGTTATAACTATTTATGGTGCCAGTTGGGTACTGGAAATATTAGGGGGAACAGTTTGTAAAGTATATGATTATTTACTATGCTGTACAATTGAAAGTAATACAAAACAATACTGAATGTAAACTGTAAGTTTTTTTCAAAAATCAATTTCAGTTCCATGTACAGTAATAGGAAGAAAATGACATATTAAAAGATACCACTTAGTCTCCTTCTTCCCAAATGCCTGGATGCCCCACCTGCCTCAGCTACCAATTGTCAAGGACTAGATGTGTGGCAACAGGGACCCAGATATTGAACTGGAAGCATTGTGTTGTATTTCTGACAGAGATTAAATTTTTGGAAAATTTCTAGTTTCCTTTCAAAATAGAGTGAAAACAGTGATCCCAAAGTCACCTTAATAGAAATTTCTATCCCCTCCAGGATAAAAAAGGGAAGAGTGGCCCGGTGTGAGCCAGCGCAGACCCGCAGCCTACTTCCCACAGTGCACAGGGGAACCCAGACTGAAGGTCAAACACCTGCTGACAGGTAGTCGCGGGTAGACCCACCTAGGGAAGGAATAAGGGCACCCTAAGCGCTCCTCCTCCACAAACCAAACTCGATCCCCACACACCCTGCTCTCTCTCCTCAGTTTGGGAACAACACCCCAAACCCCATCTAGGGCCTCCACCCTTACCAAGGAGGTATGCATAAATTCTGACCCAAATTAACTCAAATTCATCAACTTCCCTCCAGCCATAAAATCCAAAGGTTCACTTCCCTAAGGTAGACCTTCATAGTCTTACTCAGTTTGCACAAATCACACTTACCTCAAGGAACTCTGTGGATGATGCCAAACCAACCACCACAGGTCACAATTCACAAAATTTGGATTAATCTTTGACATCAGCTATTAACAGGAAGTGTAACATGATCACACAGTGTCTCACAAACTCTGAACCCTGAATGAAGAGTCACTATGATTTTTAGAAATCTTTTTAATACGTATATCCACCGACCTTGCATGAAGGTGCAAAACTGTGCATTTTCCCACAATTTTAATAAAAGAGAGGACATTTTCTGTATCTGAGACATTCTTCCTCAGAGACATCTCTATTTAAGTGCAGGAATAACGTGAGTCAGCAGGTCAAAAGACCTGAGACACTTAACTACCTTCAAACCATGAAAAAATAAGGAATTCAGTCATTTTTACACCTGCTGAAATCTGAGGCTGGAATAAGGGGAAGCTCTTAGTGCTGAGCTGGGCACAGAGGAGGCTGCTCACACGTGTCAGGTGACAATGCCAAATCCTCCCTGACCCATGGAAGGCGAAAGGAACCACCCCAATCACTTATTCTAGAAAAGGGCACACTGCAAGAACCACTGACTTAGATGAGTCTCTCAGATGTCCTGTGTTTACCTATGACATAGCCAGAGGCAAACACCACGCATCCCAAATCTCTGAGTCCTAAATGATTGGCTGTACTGTGCATCCAAGGAGGACAAATGCTTGTTGGCCAGACTTAATTAAGTTCAGCTTCTCTCCTAACCCCAGACGCCTGAATTTCGGCCTGTCCTCAGCCTTAGCCCACAGACACTCCCTCCTGAGAACAAACTGGCATCCAGGATCTGCCATCCCAGCCGCACCTGGTCTTTCCTGTTTTTGTTGACTCCCCTCTATAAAAGCAAAACTCAGAAAGCCCAACTCTTGAGACAATTGCAGACGGTATGGTCTGAGAGCTCTCCCTACTGCACAGCCCCTGTACCCACTACCCTTCTCCCTACCCGGTGGAGTAATTCTTTTGAATGAAAGTCTCTTCTTACAAAGCTTATATTTTTCAAATTTCCGAGGCTTGACCAAGTGATCACAATTTCCCATCTTTTATCCAAGATTTACTAGATTTCTGTCCACCCGACAGGCCCAGACATTGTCCCCACCTAGTCTGAACACGCACTGAGAAGCAGACAAGGCCCCGCTAACCTGATCTGAGAATTCGCTGACCACAGAGAAGCGGCTGCTGTCACACCGCCTTCCTGCTCACCCTCCTGCCACAGAAAAGCCCGCTTCTGATTTGAGATGTGGGTACAGCTCTGATATCCAAGCCTTGTCCCTACTGCACCAGTCTTTGAAGCAAGTCCAGATTTGATGTTATCTGTCAGATTCAGATCAAGTCCTTCCACCTCACGTCCACCCCGCTCCCAGCCCCTGACCGCCCGTGATGGTGGTCATCTGGTCCTTCCTTGGTCCCCCAGCTCAACCGGGATGTGACGCCGGGAGCCACCCAGCAACCGAAAAAGGAGACTCAGGACAGAAGGGGAACCCAGAATCACGGGCCGTGCGCCGCTTTCAGCCGGATCTGACCGGTTCGACCCAACCCATCCAGGTCTTGGCCCGCTCCTCGCCCTCACCATTTCGCAGCTGCGTCGCTCTTTCTCAGGTCGTCGTTCTCCCAGCAGCTCCGCAGCCCTGCAACCCCGGAAGGTAACAGAAACAGACAGAGCACCCAGGATCGCTCTGGACAGAAACGCAAGAGCGCCTCCCCCGGCGGAGAAAGATGTCAACGATGGATGCCAAAGCGCCAGCCTCCGGCAACGGATGCACGGTCCACCCCCGCCCCCCCTACCCTGCCCCGCCACACACACACAGATTGGACAATGCTGCAGACACCCGCGACGGGAATGGACAGAACTCCAGGCTGTCCCTTTGTAAGGATTCTGTTTGGATATAACTCCTGTCACGCCACCAGGCCATGATTGGACAGCTTTTGAGATCCTTTCTTCTTCCCATGCCTTGATTGGGCAGTTCTTCGGCCCCGCCCCTGTACTCCCGATTTTCGCTGTGGGCCCCGCCTCCGTATTCTGTCATTGGACAGAGTCACTGTAATGGGCGGGGGCAGAGGTCACGTGGCTGAACCCCAAAGAAGTGAGCTGTCTGCAGGTCGCAGCGCCGCGTCCTTCAGCGCCTAACGTGGGATGTGAGTTGAACCGGGTCCTATCCAAGCTGACCCTGCGTCTGTCCCCAGCTCAGGAGAACCCACCACCTTCTCCTCTCCCTGGACCTGACTCAGGTTCCTAATGGATGTTTCCTTGTCAGGAGCAGGGGCAGGTTCCTACTGAAGGGCCTGTGATCTCCAGGGTCAAGGGTCGCCGTAGTGACGAGATCACGCTTGAGTTTGTGCCCTTTATTTAAGAACAGACGTTTATAGGCGGACCGCATGCAAGATAGGTTTTCTCCTGTAACCTTTGACACCGTGAAGCCCCGTCCCCACATTGGGGCTTGAGGTCAGCAACCTGTGGGTCCAGGTACTTTGCCCCTACCGGCAGCGAGAACCTGTGGTCCCAGCTGACTTAACTGGCCTAATCTCAGTACAGCCACAGGGTGAGATGTTGGAATTCTCAGGTGTGCATTTTACACTGCAAGGGAAACGTAATCAAATCAGGATTTTAATCCCTGTGAATTTTGAAATGGAAAGGATAGTATTTGGATGAATATTGGCAGGCTTCATTTATATATTTTTTACATTCTTTCACTGCTTCTAGAGGGGAAAGGAGAGAAACATTGATGCAAGAGAGAATCATAAGAATCATCAACTGCTTGCCTCTCTTATGCACCTGGACAGAGATAGGCGCAACCTAGGTATGTGCCCTGACAGGGACTCAAACCTGCCACCTTTCAGTTTACGAAAAGACAGTCCAACCAACTGAGCCACACCAGCCGGGGCAAGGCTGACAGACTTTAATCAGGTGTGTCCAACCTTTTGGCATCTCTGGGCCACACCAGAAGAAGAGTTATCTTGGGACACATATTAAATACATGGAAATACATAATCACAAAAAAAAAACTCAGTGTTTTAAGTAAATTTACAATTTTGTGTTGGGACGCATTCACTGGGCCACATGCAGCCTGCGGGCTGCAGGTTGGACACCTCTGCTTTAAATGAACGTTATCAGTTGGGAGGATCTGTGGAAGAGAGACCACTCATGGGAGGAGTTCTCACATGTTGAAGTTCTCACACACAATGACACCACCAAAAGTTTATAAAAAGAACTCTATGCTTAAAATAAAGGTCTGTGATTGTAACTGCCCCTTAGCTTCCTTTTTGCCCTCTATAAATACCTCCCTAATGTAGCAGAGTTCAGTGTGTATATGTGGCTTGCCATGTCTGCTTGCACTGCATTGTGATTTTTTTTCCAGAATAAATCATTTTTGGTGATGAAACACCTAGCTGATATAGTTTATATTTCCTTATTCAGGTAGTATAGTGGTGTTGTTCAGCTTTGTGAAAGTACATAAAGCTACTGAGTTGCCCTGGCCGGGTGGCTCAGTTGATTGGAGTACATTCCTGTACACCAGAAGGTTGCAGGTTTGATCCCAGGTTAGGGCACATTCCTAGGTTGTGGTTTCCCTCCCCAGTCGAGGTTCCTATGCGGGGAGACAATCGATCAGTGCTTCTCTCTCACATTGATATTTCTCTCTCTCTCTCCCCTACTCCCCTCCTTCCTCCCTCTCTAAAATCAATAAATATATCCTTGGATGAGGATTAAAAGAGGGGGAAAAAAGCCACAGAGTTTTACACTTAAAAGTGTGAATAACCCCTGATGGGTGTGGCTCAATTAGTTGGGCATCGTGCCACACAGAGTGAAGGGTCACCGTTTTGATCCCTGGTCAGGACACATGCCTGGGTTACAGATTCAGTCCCCGGTCAGGGCATGTACATGAGGCAACCAATCGATGTTTCTCACGTTGATGTTTTTCTCTCTCCCCTTCTCCCTCCCTTCCCCTCTCTCTACAAATAAATAATAAAATCTATAAAAAAATAAATAACCAAGACAGCAGGAATAATAATAGCATACAATGAGTAAAAATCACAATAGATGTATATAGCTTCTTAACTCTGCACAAAGATAACTAAGTAACATGCATTGTTAAGATGTTTTTCAGCACACAAAGCAAACCACCAACTGAAACCAAGGATACTGATTTAATGTATAATTTTGATTTAATGGGTAGCCCCAGCCTTCTATTCAGTTTCTTCCCAGCATGCCCCATAAGCCTTAGCCCTTTCCCTTACTAATCATTAACAGCCAGATCAATGGCCATTCCTTGACTAAGAGTCACAAAGTTTGGGTTCCTGTTGAGCCAAAGATCAGATCATGGCCTAAATTGTGTTTCAGCTCCTGAGCCCTAAAGCAGAAAGACAGCTGGCCAAGTTCCCATTAAACCAGACTTAGGGACACCGATGCTGACATGAAGATCTAAAATGATGATGTAACCCCATTACCTCACTCTTGACCAATCAGCAAGACCCTTTATTCATTATGACTGGTGATTTGGCTCTATAAAACCCTGTCTTGACAATTCAAGGAGTTAGGGCCTTTGTGCATCAGCTTCCTGTTCTCCTGGGTGTCACCATTCATAATAAAAATAGCCAGTCTCTCGGCTGCAGTTCTTGCGGGGTTTAGTATTTGGCTCTGCTAGTGCCAGGTGGACGAACTTGCTGTTCGGTAACATTCATCCACTGATGGACATTTCCACCTCTTGGCTATTTTGAATAGCACTACAAGGTACATTCATGTAACCCATTTGAGTATCTGTTTCAATATAGGTAGGAGGGAAATAGAAGAGTCATCTATAATTCTATGTTTAACTTTTGTGAGGAACCACCAGCTCTTTTCCATAGCACCATTTCATATTCCCACTGGGAGTATACAAGGGTTCCCATTTCTCCACATCACTTTTGTTTGTTTTTTTCTAGCTATCTTAACGGGTAGAAGTGGTATCACATTGTGGGTTTGATTTGCATTTCCTTTGTGATTAATGATGTTGAGACTCTTACGTGTTTATTGCTATGTGTATTTCATCTTTGGAGAAATATCTATTCAAGTCCTTTGCCCATTTTTAACTGGGTTGTTAGCATTTTTGTTGAGATGAAAGGGTTATTTATGTATTCTGGATAACAAAATAAAGACTTTTCTAATATGTTCAGTCTGTGAGATGTCTTTTCACTCTCTTGATACTATCCTTTGATAGTCTTTGATGCATATGATTTAAATTTTGATGGTCCAATTTATATACTTTTTCTTGCATTGCTTGTACTTCTGCCGTGATATTTAAGAAATCATTACCAAATCTCATTTTGTAAACATTTTACTCCGTTTTCTTCACTCTTGGGTTACCAAGGACAACCTGCTGGTGGGTTGGGATTCTCAGAAGAGCTACTTTCCTACCCTGAAACAAGGAAGAAGCTCCTGATAAAACACTTGACCCCAGAAAATGTTTTAATGTGAAAGGCCATGTAGTTTAAGGTAATGAAGTTTCCACTTTATGTTAAACTAATAAGCAATAATCCTGAGAAGCTGTTAATAACCATTTGTCTGTGGTTACCCACATACAGTTTAGAAGTTTTATATACATAATTGTGGCAACTCTGAGAAAAATGTGACTATTTTTTTCCTTTATAAACTTATACCTATTTCTAAAGGCGCTGGCTAGGATATCTAGTCTACCACTGAGGGGATTTAAGTCATGAGTATCCTTGTTTGTATATAATTTTATTGAACAGGTGAACTTTAACCACTTATGTATGCATCCTTTCATAAACATTGCTTTTGACAATGCCCTTCCAAAAGTTGTGAGAGTTCTCATCTATTCCTCAACTCCTAAGAAATTTGTCATGGATGAATGTTGAATAGTATAACATGCTTTTTCTGTGTTCATTGAAATAATCTTAGATACCATATTTTTTAATTTGGTATGGTAATAAGTTATCTAAATTGGTAATGTCAACTTAGATATAAAATAATTGACACAATTACAAGAGTAAGTTAATCATCTAGCATGTGACATTTTAACAGATCCTCTTAGTTAATGAAACATAGAATATAATAAAACTTGTTAGTATGCAGCTGATTTGAAAACCTAGGTAAATGATATCTTCATAAGAAATAATGTAGAAAGCTATATTTGACAAAAATGCATGTTGAATCATAAAAAAATGAAAAAACATTGGGTAACCACATATAAATATGGAAAGTAATTAAACAAATTGGGTTTATCATTTAGAGAAAAATCAGCTGTAAGAGAAAACCCACAAATACCAAATACGTTTACAAAATACTTACTTCAATCCTGGAAGTCTCCAGAAAAAGAAACGCAGGTTCAGTGCAGTCTCTCAACACCATAAGGGAAGTAAGTGTCCAGCAGCTGTGCCTACAGTGTTTAAAGTGTCAGGGTGGAGGCAGGAAACAGGTCTACTGTTAGTGGAACAAGATGCTTCCTACAGAATTCGTATTAGCAAAAACAAAGAAGGGGGTTTAAAAGTGAGAAAAGATCACTAAAAGGGATCATTTGAAGAAGAAGCCTGATGGGAAACCAAAGAGCTATGGGAAATGCAAGGATCTGTATGAACCTCAAAACCAAAGTGTCCATGATGGGAAGCTTGTGACAGGATCTGTTGCCTATGAGGGAAGTAACAGCAAACGTGTGCAGCTGTTCCAGGTGGGCAGAGCCAGAAAGTAGAAGAATGCACTGTAACTTAGGCCCACTAGGTTCCCACACTGTCTCCTGACAGTACAGAACACCTGAGAGTCATGGCTTCTTCACTTCTGCCTTCCAAACCTCACGCATCTTCCTCTTCCCATGAGCTTTAGCCCATACCCTTAAACCAAAGGACAATGAAATAGTTCCTCACTTCACCCAAGCTGACAACACAATTCAGTGGAATAATTGGGACACAGCTTTCACCTTTACACCACAGGGTGTCTCTTTGTAAACTCAATGCATCATGTTGGATTTCCAGCTAAGATCAAGGACAATGAGCGGAGGCCAAATTATGAACATAATCAGATGAGACTGTCTCCTTCCAAAATCTTTCAACAAGTAATAATTTCTGTGCAAAACACATGTATGTGGCATCCACTAGCAATAAATGTGGAAGATGCATCTTTCAGTAAATCAAACTAAAGGGGAGGGTGGCTATCAGGTCAAAAAATCTCATGTCTGCAGCACTGGACCAGAGGAGAAATTTTAACAATGCAAGTGATCACATACTAGGAATATAATGGAAAGCGGGAATCAAAATTTTTTTCATCTAAAATTGTATTAAGTTGCCCCGGAAAAAAAACCAACCAAAACACCACTCTCACCCTGGGTCCAAAAGACATTATAATAAAAATGAGACCAGTAGGACTGTGTTTGAACATCAAGAAGACAAACAATATAACTACAGAAGAAATAACTTTAACATAGTCAATGAATGCACTGAAATTGTTAAAGATTTTGCTTACTCTGCTTTAATCATCAATTCAAATAAAGACTGCAGCAAAGAAATTTAGAGAAGGTTGAGACTCAGAAGATCAGCAATGGAAGAATCAGGAAAAATCACCAATGACTTAGCCAGTGTCATTGGAGACTAAGGCTAAGCTATGTACCACCTGGTATTTCCAGTCATATGTATGGATGCAAAAGTTGGAGAGTGAAGAAGGCTGATAAGAAAGAAATCAATTCACTTGAAAGACGGCATTGGAGGAGATCTCTGCGGTTACTCTGAACCCTCAATAAGATAAACAAGTGGATCCCAGAGCAAATTAAGCCTGAAATGTCGCTGAAGGCAAAAATGAAAAAACTGAAGTCATCCTACTTCAGGTGTATCATGAGAAGGCAGGGTTCTTTGGAAAACACAATAATTCTGGGGAAAATGGCAGCAGGAAAACAGAAGACCAAATACGAAATGAACTGACTCCATAAAAGAAACCACAGATAGGAGTCTACAGGGGCTGAGCAGAGCTGTCAAAGGCAGGACACTGAGGACTCATTCATACGTTCACCAGAGTTGAAGCCAACTCAACAGCATGTAACACACACACACACTTACAAAGTCAAAATCATATTTATGAGTATAATAATTAAAAGATTTCTGTCCCGCTCTGAGTTTGCATGAACAAAGTAAGTGGTGGGCTACGTCTAAAGGCTTCCCCACATTCCTTCCATTCATAAGGTTTCTCTCCAGTGTGTCTGCTTGCATTTACAAGATTTTAAGGGAGAATGACTGCTTCCCACAGTCCTAGCGTTCAGGTTTTCACCCCGCTGTGTGTCCTCACATGTGCTCGCAGGTTGGTGGGATACCAGAAGGCTTTGCCACACTGCTGGCACTCATAGGGTTTCTCGTCATAGTGCGTTCTCGCATGTTTTTGTAAGGATGAGGACCAACGGAAGGCTTTTCCACATTGTGAACATTCGTATTTCTCCCCAGTGTGTGTTCTCACATGTCGTCGGAGGGAGGAATGATGACTGAAGGCTTTCCCACAGTGCTCACATTCAAAGGGTCTCTCCCCAGTGTGCATTCTCGCATGTTCTTGAAGAGAGGAAGAACAACTGTAAGCTTTCCCACAATCCTTACATTTATATGTTTTCACTCCACTATGCATTCTCACGTGTCTGTGAAAATATCGAGAATGCCTAAAAGCTTTCCCACACACCTGACATTCATAGGGTTTCTCGTCACTGTGCGTTCTCACATGTTCTTGCAGGGAAGAGGAACAACTGTAGGCTTTCCCACATTCCAGACATTCATAAGGTTTCACTCCACTATGCGTTTTCATGTGTCTTCTAAAGTATTTGAGACAAACAAAGGCTTTCCCACACTTCTTACACTCGTACGGTTTCTCCCCTACATGCGTTCTCACGTGTTCTTGTAGGTAGGAGTGACAACTGAAAGTTTTTCCACAATGCTTACATTCATAGGGTTTCTCTCCAGTGTGAGTTCTTACATGTCGTGTAAGGTAGGAATAATACCTAAAAGCTTTCCCACATACTTTACAAGCATGAACTTTCTGTCCACAGTGACCTCTCACGTGTCCCTGAAAGGAGGAGTGGCAAGTGAAGGCTTTTCCACATTTCTGACACTTGGTAGAGTTTTTATTACTCAGATTCCACCCGTATCCCTCAGGTGCTCTCCCAGTCTCCTGACAGTGACAGGGTTTCTCCACACGCTCTGGTCCCACATGAGGGCTTGGACATGAGACACACCTGCAGGCTTGTCTGCATTCCTCACATGGATGAGGTTCGTGTCCAGCGGGATGTCTTGGCTGATTTGAGCAGGCTTTTCCACACTTAGCGCACTCACGGGGTTTAACTCCAGGAGGATGTCTCTCCCCCACAGGAAGATCTGTGATGTGGTTCAGGGTGTCTCCGCATGGATTAGCTTCATTACTCTCACAGGGAGTCTCTAGCACGTGACTTCTGTTGCAATAGGAAGCACATTATTAGATTATAAATGATGTCTTGATTAATGATTTGTTCACAGTTGATCATGACAATATTGACTACGTATTTGCTCTTTTCAATGAATGGCTATGTTTTTGGCATTATTGCACTGTTACAAGGTAGAACAAGCTTATTGAGCTGGCTGAGCTCAAACAGAGCCAGAACTTTCAATGTTTGTTATATCTGGGGTTTCCTGATCACTGTTTCCAACTGCATTCTGTTGTAGACACCCAGTATCTATATCATGTTTATGAAAATGCTGCCTCATGAACATTCTCTGAGTACGCTATTGCTTGGCTAGGTTTTCACTTTTTCATAAATGTCAAGTTAGTCTGACACTCTGCTGAGAGCCTCTTCCTGCGGGAGGACTGCTCACCTCAGATGCCTCCCCTGGGTTTGGTGCTGATCTCCAATGTCATGAAATGTCTGATGTTCTCCAAAAACAGGCCAGGAATCATTTCTTGTGAATCTTATTATTTTCTCTTCACTGGATATTTCAGGCTCCAAAATACTCCACTGTGAACATGATCTACTGGTTTTGTGCATGAAACAATCTGCAATAGGAGGTAGCATATAATTTCTTGGGATCAAGATGGTATGACAGAGGAAAGTAAATAGACTATATGTGGATTTTTTTTCACATATGATCCCAAAATATAAACAAATTTTATAAGAAGGATTGGACATGTGAACAAACAAAAACTCCAAGGACCTTGGCTATTTGAAACTTTGTCAATAATAGCAAAAATAAGTCAAAATGGCAGTTATTTTCACTAAAAAATACTCCAAGAGATGAAGAGTAATATTGTGATAAATATCATCAGAAAAGCAAAGCAGGAAGGATCTGGGCAAAATCCAAGTGCCCAAATGCTCCCTTTATAAGAGGAGATACAGACAGTCTTCCCATGTGAGTGAGGGTGGATGAAAAGTCCAACAGGCAGGCCACGTGAAAGACAAACATCACCCTTCTCAGACAGACTGAGTCATATTTCTGTTGGACATGCCCAAATGTCATGCCCTTTGAGAGCCGATTCCACCTGAGGGTTGTGGTTTTCCTGCTGTTTGCAGAAACAGAGGCCTAGATGAAGCCTTTCTCCATGGTCCACAGCTGCCACTGGGAGATCAGATGGAGTGTGGCCACTGCCCTGCCCCTGGACAAAAGCTCATAATAAGGGAAGATGGCGAACAACAAACATTCTGTGGAAAGGGCTGACACTATGACCTTAAAGGCCAGTAAAGCTGGGTAAGTGTAGGTTTAATTACAGCAAGATCATCATGTCAAATGTGTATTAACCACAGTGTAACTGTCTCAGGGGTAAAAACCACAAAGCTGCTCTCACTGCCCGCCCCTGTGAACTGGAGATTGTGGTCACACTTGTAAAAATGGGGAGCCTCAGACTTTTCATCAATAGTAATAAACAGATTAATACATGAATCTTTGTTTTCATGGAAAAGATGTTTGATTCTACATAGCTTCCATGGAGGTTTGGACTGTGTCCCCCAAAAGAGGAGACAACTGTAAAAGTATTTCTTCCCTAAAATCTAAGTGAAGGGGTGAAGATGTCCTTACCCACTGAGGCCAGGTTCCTGCAGGTCTCCAGCATCACATCTCTGTAGAGCTTCCTCTGAGAATGATCCAGCAAAGCCCACTCTTCTGGGGTGAAGTTTACAGCCACATCTGCGAAGACCACCATGTCCTGAAATATCCCACATGTTCTATTTCAACAAGTCACCTCTTCACCAGTGTGTGCGGGAAATGGGGAAGGTCGTCAGTCAGGAAACGGGACTCAATTCTTACAACTCCTGAGTCCATATTCTCATGGGAAATGGCAATAAGCAAGCAAACCAAAAGCCGTACACTCAGTGATGGTAAGTGCTTGGAACCTGGAAGCAAAGTACAACAAAAATTGATACAGACTTACCCACAGATAATTATAAGAATGATTTTTACTGAGGTAAAGTGCATACTGAGTAAGGCAAAGACTGAAAAATGAAATCATTCAGATAACATGGAAATGGATACTTGGCTTGCTCAAAAGTTATTTCCTTGTCAGCTAGAAGACCTGGAAGCAGAATGTCAGGATTTTGTGAACACAGATTTCCAGTATAGCTTGATGTGAACAACTCTTGCCTTGAAAGGCGACAGCATTGAGGATCCTGGTCTAGCCCCTCATATACGACAGAGGCAGAAACACAACCCTCCCAAGATGAGGTGAACACTGTAGGCCAGGACCTGGGCCTGGCACACCTATTGGGTAAGAGAAATGCCTGGTTCCTGAAAAATATGTCAAGCCAGGAGGGCCTCTCAAATTAACAACCAGTTACCCAGAATTCCAGAAAAATGGCAATTGTATTAAAAAAAAATACAATTTGGGCAAATAAAAAAGTATTTTTTTAAGGAACAAAATTTCAGGTGTTTCAGAGATTAAGCAGATTGAGGAGAGTACAAACCACTTGTGGGAAAAGATTTTTTTAGATTTGATGTAATGGGATAAATATATAGACATCAGTAAATGTAGCTGAGATAATGCAAGTAAACAGAATATCTGTGCATGTCCATGGCCACTAAAGAAGGAAAATCAGACCCTGACTCAGTAACTCATTTGGTTAGAGCATCATCCCAATATGCTAAGGTTGCGGGTTAGATCACTGGTCAGGGCACATGCAAGAATCAACCAATGAAAGTATAAATAAGTGGAACAACAAATCGACTTCCTTTCTCTTTCTCAAATCAATAAATAAAAATTACGGGGAAAAAACGGGGAGACCCTGACCAGTGTAGCTCAGTTGTTTGGGAGTCATCCCACAAGGTGAAAAGTTGCTGGTTTGATTCCCAGTCAGGACACGTGCCTGGTTGTAGGGCCCAATCCCAGGTTGGGGCATGTGCGAGAAGCAACCACACATTGATATTTCTTTCCCTCTCTCCTTCCCTTTCCCTCTGTCTAAAAATAAATAAATAAAATTTTTAAAAAAATAATGGGATAAATATTTTGGAAATATTTAAGGAAGGCAGAAGGATCCCCTTCACCCTTTCATTCTGGAAAAGGCACACCTAAGAACCCCCTTCCCCTTGTTTATCCACAAGGCTGGACTCAGATGCTCCCCAGTCCCCACTATGCTTATCATCATTGATTGGGCGGAACTGCTGATCTCCACTGACCAAGCAGAGGAAACGCTTGTTGGCCAGACTTGGTTCAGGCTCTGTTTTTCCCTAGACCCTTAAACTTTGCTCCCCACCCTCAGCCTGAGCCCTCAGGCACCCCTTCTGAGGACAGGCTGGCCTGGGGACTGGCCATCCCAACCTAGTCCTTCCCACTTTTATTCACTCTTGTTTATAAAAGCAAAACTTAGAAAGCCCAACTCTTGAGACATTCGCTGAAGGTATTGTCAGAGCGTTCTTCCTACTGCACAGCCCCTTCTCCCCACCCCTTGCAATAATTCTTTTGAATGAAAGTCTCACCTTGCTAAGTTTGGATTTTTTTTATTTGCGAAAGCCTGGACCAACTGATCACAATTGCCCATCTCTCATTCAAACTTTAGTCAGCCTTCTTTCCTACCCACAGGTCCGGGACATTGTCCCTCCCTTGGTCTGACCAAACACCGAGATTGCCGGACAAGGCTCTGCTGTCCCGAGCCGAGAACGTGCTGAGCCTACAGGGAATGTTCCTGTCACACCGCCTTCCTGCTCGCACTCCTTCCACTGAAAAAAGCCCTCTTCTGAGAAGTGAGCCACATTCTTGTTGCAACAGACTTCGGACGTTAAAAAGAAAGCAACAGGCCCCCATGGGGTCATTTATGCTAAGCCACACTCACCAAACTTAATTCCAGTTTCAGCCCATCCCTGGAATGAAATCTTAAACCTGTCAATCAGGAATTACTGGTCAGCGCTGGTCATCTGCCTGATAGACCCCACCTTCTCTTAAAGGAAAGTGACCTTGCCACAAACAATCAGCTCCTTGCTAGTACAAATTCATAGTTCCTTCTCTTTTATAACTGTAAAAATCTACAGCTCCTAGGAGCTCCTTTCTGTCTGCTAGATGGGATGCTCTTCATTTATGAATCATTAAATAAAGCCAAATAGATTTTTAAATTTACTCAGTTCAATTTTGTTTTAACAGAAATAAAGTCTCTCCTTAATCAAGACCGGGTCCGATTTTATCTCTCCGATCCAGGGAGGTTCCCCCCACGTGGCCGCCCTCCACCCTGACTGCCAGCGCCCAGGTGGTCCAGTCCTCCCTCGGACCCCACACAGCCAAAGGACTAGGACCTGGGTTTGGGATGAGTGTGGAGGTGAGGGGGTAGGGGAAGACCTAAGACGCGGGCACGGCCGAGGGCAGACACCCGGGCCCCCCAAAAGGGGGCAGGACGCCGGTACCTCACCCCGTGTCAGAGGGCGTACCCTCCGGTCTGGACCCGGGACACGCCCCCATGGCGAGGTTAGGGCAGAACACCACAACCTCACTCTGCGGCAAAGGAGACTTGGATCGGGACCCTGGAGGTTAAGGATGGTGCGCCGGAATCCAGGCCTGTAGCTGCTTCCAGCCAATTATGCTGGTTCGAACCAGACCCTCCCGGTTTCGGCTCTAGCCCCGGCCGCACGGACTCACCGTCTCCCAGTTCGGCTGCCGGGGGTCCTCTTCTCAGCCCCGAAGCTCAGGCAAGGCGGAGCGATTTACTTGCTACGTGCGCGCCCGCCCCAAGTCCTGACTGGACGATTGTCGGAGCCCCCTCACCGGGATTGGACAGTTCTATGAAACCCGCCCCCGCATCCTCATTGGACAATGCTTCCAGG